ATCCCTGAAGGTATTTAAAAGATGGGTAGACGTGGTGCTTGAGGACATGGTTTAGTGGTGGACTTGGCAGTGCTAGGTTAACGGTTGGACTCAATGATCTTAAGGGTCTTTTCCAACCTTAACGACTCTATGATTCTATGAACTTCTGTCTGGGATTTGAACTACTGTTTTTCCTGGTTTAGAGAGACCTGGTCACGTGAATCCATCACAAAATACTCAAACAATTCTGAGAACCAAATACTCAGCAGTGGTAGCATGAGTCCTACCCTGTCCCTTTTTCCTGCTTACATTTAGAGCATGTGTGAGTGGCCTTCTGGGCAGTTGCTTAGAAGAGATGGATTGCTTAGGAAGTGAAAGTGAAAGATGCTTCCAATTCTGTCCCAAAGCAGTGACTGAATCAGACCATGCTTATCTCAGGACAGTTCACCCTCAGTGCCAGAAGAGCCCCACAGTAATCAGCACCAATGCTAATGACCGCAAAGTATTTCTGGAGTTACTTAGGAATAGCCTAATGGAGTAGCAGGAGCTGTAGTTGGAAGGGCTGTTTTGCCAGACAAGATTTTATGTATCTTGTTTCTTCCTTGGAGCAATCTGTTCCTTTTCCCCTCTGTTCTTAGTCCTGTTTCAGGCCTAAGAGACAGATCCTTTGTGCTGAAGCAATAGAACAACATCTTGTTCTTCTTGCTCTGTAATTTTATGATCACTCTAAATTGACGTAAGTATACACTGTTCCCCCAAGAACGGTCCTAACCTGTGCCTGTTCTGTCCTACCTGCTTGGACCAGTATTTGTGCAATCTCATGGTAAACTAGATTGCACAAGTGACTACAATTAAAAGTAATCTCTCTTTTATGTTTTTCCTCACTTAACACTTGCCCATATAAATTCTCTGAACAGTTCACTGCACAGGTGCATGTAGCATTGTCCAACCCAAAAAAGAAAATGTGGTATTGAGAGTTGTAATGAGCAACCCAGTCTAATTTTGAAGTAAGCCCTGCTTTGAATGGAAAGTTGGACTAGGTGACCTCCAGAGGTTCCTTCCAAACTAAATCTTTCTGTGATTCTGTGACCTTTGTAGGACGACTGCTTCTTTTATTGGTAGTGCCGGTTTCTGCTGGCTTAGGGTGACCATTAAATTTTGGCTTAAAGAAAAAAGGTTTTGCATCAGCTATTTTCTTCCACTGAGAAGAAATGGAAGCTGTAAATCTGTCTTGGACATAGGAAATGAGATGCCTTTATTTAGGATGCTATTGAGAGTGTTGGTGGTGTCCTTGCTCTGTTGAGGGTGCTGATCTGACCTGCAAGATGTTTGTCTCTTTGTCTCAAAGAAAGCATCTTTTCAAAAATCCATTGTTCCACTGTAAGTTGGGACCGTTTCCAGCACAGGAATCCTTAGTTCTGCTTGACCATACACAGGATTTTTGCAGAAATTCTGGAACCAACTCTTCCTTGCCTTAGAAATGAAGGAAAATTATTGTTTGTCCTTCATTTATGACTTGTACATGAAGAATCCTTCTCTGCACAGTATGTTAAATACCTAATACATTCTGTTTAATCTGCCAATACCTTATGTTTCCTTAGTTTGAGAGTAAATACACGCAATTCTTTTGCAAACACAGCATATCACCTGAGGTTCACCAGGACTCTGTCTATCGGAGTCTGCCTTCAGTAGTATGGGTTCTGGGCTTGGTTGGCTTCCTAAGACAGCTTACTGTCTACCCAGCTAGAAGTTAGAATGATGTGTACGCCTATTCTAGAACATCTAGCCATCCAGAGGGACCTGGACAAGCTGGAGAAATGGGCCTGTGTGAACCTCATGAGGTTCAACAAGGCCAAGTGCAAGGTCCTCCACCTGGGTCCGGGCAATCCCCGGTATCAGTACAGGCTGGCGGATGAAGGGATTGAGAGCAGCCCTGCCGAGAAGGACTTGGCAGTACTGGTAGACAAAAAGCTGGACGTGAGCCAGCAATGTGCTCTCACAGCACAGAGGGCCAACCGTATCCTGGGCTGCATGAAAAGAAGTGTGGCCAGCAGGTCGAGAGAGGTGATTCTGCCCCTCTACTCTGCTCTGGTGGGACCCTACCTGGAGCACTGCGTCCAGCTCTGGGGTCCTCAGCACAAGAAGGACATGGACCTGTTGGAACGGGTCCAGAGGAAGGCCACAAAAATGATCAGAGGGATGGAACACCTCTGCTATGAGGAAAGGCTGAAAGAGCTGGGGTTGTTCAGCCTGGAGAAGAGGAGGCTGCGGGAAGACCTTATTGCAACATTTCAGTACTTAAAGGGGGCCTACAAGAAAGATGGGGATAGTCTTTTTAGCAAGGCCTGCTGCAACAGGACAAGGGGTAATGGTTTTAAGCTAAAGGAGGGTAGATTTAAACTGAACATAAGGAAAAAAATTTTCACAATGAGGGTGGTGAAACATTGGAACGGGTTGCCCAGAGAGGTGGTAGATGCCCCATCCTTGGAAACATTCAGGGACAGGCTGGATGGGGCTCTGAGCAACCTGATCTGGTTGAAGATGTCCCTGCCAATTGCAGGGGGGATGGACTAGATGACCTTTAAAGGTCCCTTCCATCCCAAAGCATTCTATGATTCTATGGTATTTCTATACTTTCATATCTATGAATGTGGGGCTTCACTTGCTGTTAAGCTAATGTATCTTTAAACAATTTATTGTCTTGAATACTCATGATGATGACTGTCCCTGAGCAGTTTCAAAACTCCTGATACTAATCCACAACTAGCAAGTATCTGAAGTGGAATCCCTTTTCAGTTGTTGATACTATTTACATGTCAAAGACTTACTCTTCTGTCCTCATCTGGGTAAAAAAAAAAAAAAAAAGAACATGAACTAAGGTGTATATTGTCAAATACCGTATTTCTATTTTCTGTCTTCTAATTCTTGTCTCTACATTCTGAAAAAGCAGCCCAGCTAGAAGAGAGTGAGTTGCAAGAACGCAGCACAGAGACTGCACCAAGGAAAATACAACGCAGAGGTTGGCTTCAGGTAAGAAACAGTTTGAAAAAATGCATCTTTGAACTAAGTCTTAGATCATACATAATTTTAGGGGAAATTGGTTGCAAGTAGTAGATAGCGGGCAGTTGGGACTCTCGTAGAATCTGAGTCTTGGTTTGGTCTGGATACTGAGTGACAATGTGAAATGATACCCTGACCAGTTTTGTGTCTACTTTGAAGCCTAAAGAGGCAAATCTTATTGAAAGGGTCTGGTTTCAGTGACATCCATCACAGAAACTTTTTGTAGCCTGGACGTAATTGGCTCAATCTGTCCTCCAGCTGAATAGCTGTTGCTTGACATCTCGGATGGCAAGCCTAAAGAGCTCATCTAGTGCAAAGGATGGAGATTCTTATTTTGGAGAGGACCTAGCAATTCATGTTCAAAACTGTCAAACTTAGGCTGGGCTAAGGTATGCTATGAGGCAGGAAGTTAGAATTATTGAAAGAACACATTCTATCAAAAGCCAGGTTGCCTTAGGATCTTCTCTCTGGGACATCTCTGCTCCTGGCACTTACAAAGTGGTAGAGGAGTGTATGAACCCCAGATAACTAAGTTTAATATCCTTGCACAGACTTCTGGATCACATGTTGCCTTTAATGAAACTGTCCTCTTCCCATTGTTCACTTATGAGGACCCCCCTATGGAATATGTCTGCACAAGAGTTCAAAAGTGGGGGGAAAAAGTTACTTAAAGATAACTTTATTCCTTGAGAGAGATATATGCACTTCCTGCTTTCTCTTTTGTCATATTTTGGAGTACTGAAATTCTGTGGTATGGAAAGATGAGTTTCTCAAGTCTTCTACCCCTCTTTAGCCATGCTTGAGTAACTGACACTGTGCATACTTTGATTGCATCCTAATTATGAAGTAAAATAAATTAATTTGAACCACTTTTGCAGCCATGTCTGACATTTACAAAGGCAAAGAAATCTTTGTGCCTGAATGCTTATGGCATAACATTTCCCCCTCATTATATTACACACAACAGTAATACATCTTAAAAAAATTGCAATTACTTCAAGTAGTCATTTTCATACATAGAGATCATAGAATCACAGAATTTTTGTGGTTGAAAGAGAACTCTTAAGATCTTCTAGTCCAATCTTTGTGCTCAAGCAGGGTCAGCTAGTGCAGGTTGCCCAGGACTGTGTCCAGGCAGGTTTTGAGTACTCTACAGATGGAGACTCCACCACCTCTCCATGAAACCTGTTCCAGTGTTTGATCACCCTCACAGTAAATTTTTTTTCTTCTGTTCATATGGAGTTCCATGTTTTTTTAAATTTGTGTTCATTGTCTCTTGTCCTGTCAGTGAGCAGATACCTGTCAGGTATTTATACACATTGATGAGATCCCCCAGAGTCTTCTCTTCCCCAGGCTGAAGAGTCCCAGCTCTCTCAGCATTGCCAGCAGAGCACCTTTGCTTGTTGGCTCCTCGGTCCCGTGTGCACTCTAGAAATCTCCTAGATTGCTCGAGCTGTGCCGTGTTGTCTTTCCAGCAGATGTCAGGTTTATTAAAGTACCCCATGAGGACAAGGGTCTTTGAACTTGTGGATTCTTCAATTTTTTTGAGGAAGGCCTCATCTATTTCTTCCTGATCAGGAGGTCTATAGCAGATACCCGCTATAACAGCACCCATGCTGGTTTGCCTGCTAGTCTTGACTCAGAAGTTCTTGACTGGCTCCTGACCTGTTCCTTGCAGAGCTCCATACGTTCCAGCTCTCTCTCACATAAAGGATGACAGTTCCTTCTCAGCCTGTGGCTGTGTCCATCCATCACAGCATTCCAGTCTTGTGAGCTATGCTACCATATCTCTGTGATCCCAGTGAGGTCATAGCCCTGTAACCAGACACAAGCTTCTAACTCCTGTTTGTTCCCCATGTGTTTGTTCTCCATTAGTGTAGATGCATTTCAGAGAGGCACCCAAGCATGCCGATTCCCCAGAAGAGGCTTGAGAGCTTTTGCCATAAGGTTGTTCCACCAGCACTTCTTTACATGCCTGTGCTTCAAGTGATTGCACTTCCGCTATTTTGTTGATTGCTATGTCATTTTTTCACTCACCTGGTGAGGTGAGGGAATGAACCCCAATGGGCACTCACTTTGGTGCCAAACGCATGATGTGTGCTGGGCCTGACCCACTCTGGGGATAGCAGCAGCAGGTGAAGAGTTTGACTAGGGCAGTTAAACCACAATGCAGGGGCCCAAAGGTGAGCTCCGGGAGGACAGAATCCTTCTATGGAACAGAGGGAAAAAAGGTTGCTTGATCTAGATATTGTTATGTAAAATGGGATGATTATTCTTTTTGTACTGCCGTTGTGATAGCACAAAAGGTGTCTAATTTCTTTGGATGCTTCTTTTAACAGAAAACTGTGGAGATTAAAACAGAAAGGGGGGCTAAACTCTGCATTAAACCTCCTTTTGAGTACTCTGAGGATTTTGAACCTTATGAAAGCTTGAGCATGGAGACAAATGGTGATGATCTTCTCTGTTACTCCCAGGTACAATTGGCAGTTGCCATCTATTGTTCATGGTAGTGTCAATTGAAATGTGAATGGGCCCAGGTATCAGTCTTGACTAGAGCATGCAAAAAGTGTTTCTTTCACTAGATGATTTTGCATTGATGAGATGTGACATAAAGAAGGAAAAAGTGAAAAGAGAAAGTAAAACTACTTCGAAAATCTAATCTCAGTCAACAACGCTATAACATGTTAAGTCCTAATTTAAAGAGGTAGCGTATTGTCTCTGTTGGGTAGAACCAAGGTATTTCATGCAAGGAGATTCTTTCAGTTCACTTAATGGTTGTCCACATGAATGTCACTCTTGGCTATCAGGTTAGAGAAAGCTTAAATAACAACTTTTTCTGGGTTTGGGTGAGTTTTTGAATAATCATGCTAAAATTGTTGCATGTCATTGTTTTACCTAACAGAAGTCAGAGTAAAGTTTTTAAAATATTATAATCAATACAGTTGCTTTCCATCAAGGGTTGTTATTGTATTGACTCTGTTGTTTGACAGTTCAGCCTTGCATTCGGTTACTAATTGCAGTTTGTTCTAGCACACTTCACAAATGTCCTGTCCTTAAAAAATGAATAAATGAACAATAATTTATGGATGTTTTTCTGCCTAACCAATTAATGACATCAATAAAGCTTTTCTGGGTAGCAGAGTAGCATCTATATATGAAACTGTCTACAGATCTTACCACTGACATCAGACAAACTTCCCAAGCATATTTTCCTAGCTTGCATCTTTCTACCTTTCCTATATTGCTTTTGAGCTTACGAATTTTTTTTTTCTTTAGAAACTAGTAAGTTGTTTACAGTGATGGATATTATAATCATTTATGTGTAAGTAGTAAGCTAATAATTTTAAACCAAACCCTTACTTTTCTTTGTATTCCAGATGGAAATACTTTTGGTTTTCCAGAAGCTATAATATGTTTTCTTGAATGTCTTGTTACAATGCAGATGTCATGAGGTTTCAAACTAAAAAGAAAGCCTGTACAACTCCCTGTCAAATAGCTGGAAATATTAGTCTTGACTGTCATAAAGACATGCTCAATATCAAGCCTCAGGTTGTTTATAGACCCTGTTTTGAACCTGTTTGCCTGCTCTTTGTAATATGTTTCTGTCAACATGGATTCCCTAACAAGTGTTATCTGTAGCAGAAGAGCAGCTTGAAGCCTTCATTGCAACCTGAACATACACTGTCACAGTTCATTTGTACCTAAGATAGCTTCAGGTTTTCAATTTACTCATACAGTTTGCTTACCTATACTTACCTCAAAATTCTAACACCAACAAAATAGTGAAAAAATGCATTTAAGATATGCAAGGTCTTTTCCTTTTACATTCATAACAACAAAAGGCTCTCCAGCATCATCTGTGCTGTTTGTGGCATATGCTGAGAGAGGCAGGGTAGTTTTTTCAACAGTAAATTTCAAAATAGATTAGTTTTTGCATAAAATCCTGTTATAGAGTGTCCAATTAAAAAAATCTGTGCAAACTGGAAGCTTAGTCCATTAGACCACAAGCCTTTCCTACTGTTTTTTGAGGTACAGGTGTGTACAAGACAGGACTATTACCATTGATCCAATTGCTTATAAAGGAGTTGCTATTACATTAGCTTTGTAGTCTTGTGAAGGCATTCGGAAAATCTGGATTGCAGCTAGTCTTCAAATAGCAAGCCAAAAGACAGGGTAATCTAACTGTGTGAGTCTAGAAAAATATATGTCCTTGCCCTCTCCATTACTTACCTCCTGTTTGTAACTTACTCCTAAAAATTGGTTTTGCACATAAAAATTCCGTGGCCTACAGAATTTTCCTGCAAGGATTCTGATGAGAAGGAACAAAGGAGTTGTGGGATGATTTTTCTTTACAAGTCCTCATCAGAGGAATGAAGACACGGCATAGGAATGTGAATATTTTTAGCTGCATCATGGCTCTGAGTTCATGAGAAGATTTTTCTTTCTCCTGGGGGAGGAAGAGGCAGCCACATTGGTTTATTTTAAAATACATGTTTAAGCTTTTTCTGACAAATCTGTTTGAATTGTACTAGAAATTGAGAAGAAGCTTGCAACTTAGTATAGAAGAGAAAAGGATGGAAGAAGACTCTCTTAGTGATGATTATGACTCTGTTGAAGAGGATGTGTTTTCAGAACCATCTCCCACTGAGGAAACAATTACAAGCTTTGGAGGCCTTCAGTTGCATAGCAGTAAATCACTGCAGAAAGAAACTTCTGAACATCAGGATGCTGGGAGATGCTCTGGCCTTGATTCTGGTGCCCTGACTGTGTTGGAGTTCAACCAGGATCAAAGTAGTAAGTCTCTGTGTGTTATGCACTACTACAGTGCTGTAATAATTCTTTGAGAGCATTACTTTAAGGGAATTGCTGCTGGTTAATCGTTAATGGTTACTCCATACTCTCATGAGTTTTCATGCTCTTCAACAAACCTGTTGTTTTGATCTGATTTGGGAGACTGGCATCCTCTTACTACTATGTTAGGAAATTTTTTGCAAAGACAAAGATATATCCTTGCTTAACCCACTTGCATCACCAGGCCTAGACGCTTGAACAAAGATTGTCTCAGACTGTCTGTGAGATTTTTCAAGAGATTATTATTTTTTTAATATATTTTTGAACTGTTTTTGCAGTAATCCAGGCAGCCAAATCTTCCCAGTCTCAGCTTCCTCCATTTCACATCCTCGATGCTGGGTACCTGTCGTCATAGCATGTGCTATTCATCCCTGATGAAAGATGTATTAATTAGAGAAAACAAATCTGTCTGTCTATGAGCCACTTCCTTGTCAGGTCTTCTCCTTTGGAGACCTCAATGTCCAAACCCAAACCCAGTCACTAGGTCTCAAAGATAGTTAGCTTGTTAAAGGTACAGAGTCCAGGCAGAAAACAGACCTTGACCTACATTCAGTATTTCTCAAAATTCCCTCTCCATGCATTTCAGGTACATTCATTGGTGGTTTTTTTTTTTGTTTTGTTTTGGTTTTTTCCCCTCTTTTCCTTATCCATAGCTAATTCCCTAACTTAAGAGGAACAATCTTTGAACAAATTGAGTAAAGGAGTGTTCCTCTCATTGTCATAGAGGTAGTGGAGTGTGAATGGGGAGAGGTGGCAGACAAAGAGACAGGAACAAGGGATGGAGCAGCAATGAGAACAAGATCTCCAGAAGAGTACATGATTTTTTTTTTTCCAGAGAGAAGTTTCAAAGCTGTGATGCAAACAATGGAGGCATTAATAATTCTCAAATAAAAAAGAGAAGAAGTACTCTTATGAACTACACTAGGCAACACTCTCCCCCTTTGAAACTTCTACATAAGACAACATTTTAGTCTATATTTTAAGAATTTATTTTGGTATAACTAGGTTAATAAGTGACTCATGCCTTCTTTTTTATTTTTGCTTTTCTTGACAGTGATGCAGGTAAATATCTAGTACAGATGAGATATATTGGTACCTTATAATGGTATATTTTATTTTGTGTCATGAAGTCAGTGCAAGGCATGCATATGTACTTCTACGTCAGTAGAGCAGTATCAGTGAAAATGAGGGAGGATGGAGGTTATCACTTAAACTATGCCAGCATAATTAAAGTGACAAAATTTTAGCAGTTAAGATCCTTTTTTTCCCTGGCTGGCTGCTCCTAAATATCTCTGAAGTTGATTATTTCTATTCCCTTATTATCTTGCAGAAGTGAAGCCACTACGAGTTCTCTCGGCAAAAAGAAAAGATAATGCTGAAATGTATATTCCTGTCAGACCAATCGTGTTAAAAAATAAAATCACTCGGCCACTCTCTGCTGAGTTTTTGCAGCAGGAAAGACATGAAAGAATTTGTTCTAGTAAGAAACATATAAATGTATATTAATATATATGATAAGAATATATAATGTCAATAAGGAGAGTTTTCATGCTTTTTTCCCCTCTGGCTCAGATATAATTTCAGCACACATCTGTCATGATGTGATTTTTCTTAGCTGTTGTCCTTTTTTTTTTGTGTGTTTTTTTGTTGTTGTTTTTACCCCCTCAAGTATTTTGACTTAAGTAAAATTGTGAGAAAGTCCAGAGCCTATATACTTCGTATAATTTAGTCTTCTGCTACGTCTTTACTACCTTCCTTCTCTTTTTGCTTCCACAGCATAAGACTTTTTCCTCTCCCTTTCAGTCCTTGTGCTTGCTCTGTGTTTCCCACTTTCCTCATGGAGATCTGTTCCCTGTGGTATTAACAGAAGTGAGTCTTTGTAAAATCAGCAATTGACACTTTGGTGGAAGACTTGAATACAATGCATTTATAGCAATAAAGGCATAGTTTTCCACAGCACAGCAAAACTAGCTCTGTTGCTGCTTGGGACTGTACTTGAATTACACCTTGAACACTGCAGATCAGTCTCCACTGCTGGGTAGGTATGCGGGTGTCTAGTACCAGACTGGAAAATGTTTTTCCTGGACTGGAGAACACCATTTTGAAAGCACTGCTGCTTATTCTAGAAATCTGCTGCTAAGGTGTGGTCTTTACCTGGGCTTTAAAAAAAAAACCCAAACAAACCCCAAATCTAGGGGCTGAAATCATAGCTGCAGTTGTTATTTCAGCACAGTCCTTAATTGGACAAGTCTGATGAACTTGAGTTTTGAAATGTCTGAGTTAAAGTTTTCAGACTTACCATACTCTATGGTTAAGACACTTTTCTAAAAAGCAAAATCCAGATGTGTCCCAAGACAGCAATAAAACTAATGGTTTGAAAAGTCAAAATATTAGTTTCTTAATTGGCAGAAAACCAAACTGAGGAAAAGAAGCTGGTTCTTTTTGGCTTCAGAATAAATCCTCTTTGTAGCTTCTGAGACCCTCACCCACCATCTGTCTGAGAAGATGCTTGCTTTGACCATTTTCCAAAGACGTGTGTAGCATTTTCTCATGTTATAATAGTGCTTGTTAGAACTGTTTCTGTCCACCTATCACTTTAAATCTTTAAATTAATTTCATTTCACGGGGATGGTATAGTATAGAAAAATAAAAAGGACTTTATTCTGTCTGTGTGTTTGAGAGATGACTAATGCTTGTTGAAAGTTTTTATGAGTGAAGACGGCATAGGGCTTAGAATGTGAATGCATGCAAATCTCAATTCAGTTTTAACTTCCTGTCTTTTCAAGGTAGACTTCATGTTACTAGCATCCACTCCCATTTTACTCTCCTGCTTAGTAAACCTCACTGCAGCAGTATGAGCACATTTGCATATCAGCCTGTTATGTATATTTTCACTTGATCTTAATGTCTGTACAACTTTGGTCTCTTTTCTTCCCTTGACTTCTGAAGACCTTGAATAGAAGCACTGTGCTTCTCTTTTAGTCCAGTCTCAGATCCTCTATCATTAAATTTTATTTCCTTCCTTTTAAACCTGTTTATAGGCTGTGACGTTTCTGTTTCTCCATGATGTTTGGGAAGATTGGGATGCGTATGGGCATTTTGATGACTACTTAAGTGATAAGGTCATTTATTTTGCCTTGCAAATAGCAACTCCTGCCTCCCCTTGTTTGCTAGAAGACTCTGGGTCTTCCTCCAAGATAGCTGAACACCCCAGTTACATTGAAAAAGTTCAGGTGTGCTGAAATTATATATACTTTTTTCAGTGAACTGTTACAAGGCATTTCCATTAAATACCTGAATAAAGCAAATAAAAAAAATGTTAAAGCATAAAAATTATGTTTCTCATTTGTCAGTTTTTCTCCTCTTATGATACTGCTTCAGCTGTCTAAAGTAGATGTGACCTGGAATCTTAGTATGAAAACAAATTGGAGCAATTCAGCCTTGCTTGGGATGGTTACAGACTGCTAGCAATGCCCTGTGTCAGTAACTGAATTGGATGTTTCACATGTACACTGTTGTAATGTTCCATACTTATATGTTTGGACAAATGAATATTCCTTCCTTCTTTTGGTGGCAGGACCATTAAGTCGACCAGAAAGACCACTTTCAGCAACTCGAAAGAATGAGTGTGAGAAGGATCCTGATCTCTCAGTTTCAGCTGTGGTTAAAGCAATGCAAATTGAAAATGAAGTCTTGCAGAGAGATCTGCAAAGGCAGACAGTTTCCACAAGCCCTCAAAAGGTATGGCAAAATACAGAAAAGGGCTGTTTGATCAAGTAGCAAAACCCCCATGAATTACAGTCTCTTGTACATTAAGATTATGTATGAATGAATAGTGATGCCTCTTAAGTGTTATTTAATTTGTATTATTCTTCCATAGGGTGGTTTTCTTTAATCTCCTTCCTCAGGATGGCATCCCACAGCTCTCTCTTGATTTCAGGGATCAATGAGCAACTGATAGACCAGTCACATGATATGTCTATACAGTCAAATGCACAGCTGCAGGCCTGGTTGAACCATTTTCATTCTGGAAGCTTCTTAAACAAGATAATGTGTGATTTCCATACCAATAAATGCTACCTTCCTACTGGACTCATTAATATGGGCACTGTTCCCTGTTAATACATGCTCTGCTTTTGGAGCAGAGCTGTCACGTACGCTGCTGGCTCTTAGTGAGGAGGAGCTCGTATGGGTTTTCTGCACCAATGTGTGTACATCTCTTATCTTCAGCAACCATGTTCAAAAGCAATTAAAACTTCACCTTATAAACAAGGAAATCAACAAAAATCCACTCCCTTCTGATTCAGGTCACACCATTATTCCTTGTTAAGTTAAAGAGTAAGGAGGTTTGTGTTGACAATCCTAGCTAAACTTTGAGCATACCCAGTAATTCAGTTCTCCTAACAGAAAGAAAGTACTTGAAGAAATTTGAGCATAAACTGAAATTTACAAAATTATCTGTTATGGACAGTGTTCCTGGATTCAAAGTCTGCTTCCAGTTTGATGTTTAGGAGACTCATTTTTATAGGAAGGAAAAGAGAGATGCCTAGACATTCTTGGAGTTACTTATTTGAATTCTGAGAGTTTCCAAGACAGCTGACTACTTTAACCTAAGCTGATGTTCCCTGAAGTTGTGAGTTGATGCTATGATGAATATGTATCCACTGTCATCGCTGAGCCAACATTAGGTTTCTGGGGAGTTTTGGTTAGGACCAAAGGTTACAATGTTCTTTTACTATAGGTAAGTACTTTACATATGATTTCACCCTCTAGGTCAACTTTTCAACCTTATTCCTCTTGTTTTTGAGATATTTATAGCCTTGTGACCGAGAGAACAAATTCCATTGAATTTTCTCACATAATGTATGTTTCTGCTAACATTAGGACATTTTAATACTGTTGTGCTTGAATTAAAAGTAATGAAATAATACTTAAAATAGATGTAATTTTACCCTGACACTTGAGGTGGAGTTTCAAAAACCCACTGTGAGTTCTCAGTCTTAAAGCTGACCTAAATGATCTTCCAGAAGTAATTTAATTTTGCTTATGCAATTAAGGGATTGTGGAACTTGGCCTTTGATATTTAAATGTATAACAATGAAGAATTTTTAATACTAAAAAGGTAATTAACTTCTAAGCATTTTAAAGTTCTCTTACTCTTCAAAAATTGTAGAAATGGAAGTGACCTAAGAACAGAAGGACTGCCATTCCTCATCTGACTAGTTATTCACTGTGCTGAGTATTCTGTCTCTGGCAAAAGCTACCAACAAATTTTTAGGAAAAATAACAAAGGGAGCAGGGTATACTTCCAAAGTGGGGTACAGGCACAAAAAGAGCCCATAACATTGTAAGAACTGCAGGACTTTTCCTCTGTTTTCTCTTAGATAGTCACTACTGATAATTCTATTTTTAAAAAAATAAATCAAGATTTTATTCTTATAAAACTGAGATTTTTTGGGTTTGAAAGTCTTTACGATCCTTTTTTTGAGAAGGAGAAAGTCTAGGCAGACCTGTGCCAAAGCTTTGGCCAACTGAATCCTACCGAATGTATACAATGAGATTTCAGACATATATATATATTTTTTTAATAGTCATCAGAGAATGCTTTTAAGTTACTTTTCTTCCACATAGAAGATCAAGCTCCAAGCTCAGCTCTTTCATTGCAAATCAAGACGAATTCTGTTAAATGTGCTTTAACTCGGTATAGAGTTACAGATTAGCTAAGGTTAGCCGAGACCAGAGTTGGGCCCAAACTCTTATTTATTCCAGAGATGCAGGCTGATACTCATTGGTATGTAGAGAACAATGTGAATGAAACGCGTTCATCTTTTTCTTACTTAGAAGAAATTTTCTGTTTCATCTGTTGTTTCTGCAATGGTTGAACCTCCAGAAAAAAGCCAGACAAGGACTGCAGTCACAAAAGCTGTTGAAAGGATTTGTCCTTTTGGAAGCAGGTATATATATTTCCTTTAAGGCTAGCTTCCTTTTTTGAAGAGATATTTTTCAGTATACCACCAGTATACCACTACACCTGGTAATCTTTAGATACCTGAGACATCATGCAAGTAGTAGCAAATCAGGGAGAAGGTTCCAGCCTTAGGCGAGTCTCTGTGGATCAGGGAACTGCCAACATCTCCCTCTGTCTTCATATTACCTATGTATTACTTTCTCAGACTGCCTCAGAATCAGCTGAGAACTGGAGCCCAGTCTTTTAACCAAACTCTGTGTATCTAAGGTGGGATGCTGCAACAGTTGTCATTCAGCATGGGGGTACATGGGCTTCTTCTGTGGAGCGTGTGGGTTCATCCTATCATCTCTTCACTTTCGCACCAACAAAACTATTCCTTAAAAATACGGGAATTATGAGGAAGTAACACATAAAAGAATATGTATGTTTCAGACAACAGAAGAAACTTCTGAAAGACCTTCCGGAGCCTGAGAGCCATTCTGCCTGTGATAATGACATATTCCTATCTGATGACAAATCTGAAGTAGGTTCCATGTTGAGAGAGAAGGTTTGTGTATATATGCACCACAACTGATGCTTCCCAGTATTACTGAAATAAAAGCACATTGAATGATCTGTATTCCACCGATTCTGCCCCATGTCAACTAATAAACCTATGGCAGGATAAGAGAAGAGAATTTAGCACCGTTCCTTTGTTCATCAGAATGACAAAGGAAGCAGACAGAGAGAACTGTTTTCTCCTTAGGCTTTGTAAGAGGATCATAAGTTCTTTTCTCTTACCCTGATAGATTTATTAGTTGATGTGGGGCAGAATTGGTGGAACCCAGAATGATGAATGTCATCCAGATAGCCTTGAGTTTGCAAGCTTTTTGCTTCTGACTCATCAGTATTGTAGTCTTAACAGTCTTTATTTTGTTCCACATTTTATTGTTTTGTCACTTATGTTTATACTGTATTTCATTTTGGTCCAGATGACAACCAGTATGGAAGTACGTGATGCCATTTATGTGACTATGGAACTTCTTTCTAACTGGGGAAATCCAGTAAATGTGGGCCTGAGCGAGGTGGAATTCTTTGATTTATACAATGAAAAGATATTTGTGTCTCCTCATGATGTGGACATTCGAAATGCTGACAACCCAGGGGATTTGTGCTGCTTGGTCAATAAGAACTTAAATGTAAGACAGCTTAGTCCTGGATATAAAAATTTCTCATTATAATATTTCTTTAATATTCGATCACTAGTTTTTTTTGTTTAGAAACATGATTGCATTTTGAACCTGACTTGCATAACAACTATCTGATAATTTAAAAAAATACAAATATTGCTTGTTACTAACAAATCCAGCTTTCCTGTCCAAGATGTTGGTATTCAGTTATAATTTTGTTTTAGAACAGAATTTGATTAATTTGCCTGACTTACTTAACTGAGCAACTGGAAGGAAGCAGCTTTAACTCTGCCTCCTTATATATTAACTCTGTGGTGTTGTCTTGGATGAAAGAACACATTCAGTTTTTAAAGTATTGTAATGTAATCATAGCATCTGTAGAACGAGATCGCAAAACTTCAAGGACAGGGAATTTCATATTTTTACAGTATGTCTGCTGATAAACTTAATTCTTGTGATCTGAAGGTATAGGAGCTTCACTGCTAACTTCTTCCAGATGTTTAATATGAATTTAAGTAAACTTAAGAAGGAAACATGCTTATTTTCTTCTGTCCCCTTGTTATCCTTTTACCTAGGGAACAATCATGGAAGAATAAGAATGCGTAGGTAGGTAGTTTTGAACACGAGATTAAGAAAAATGTGTGGCATGGTAAAAGTATTTCATGGCTCTTCTGTGAGACAGTAAAATGAGGAGACATGAAGTGCTTACATACTAAAGACAATGGACAAAAGACAATAACTGGTATGAAATTCTGATGCTATTGAAGAGATTAGCAAATGTCCATAGCCCTTCATACAGCCATAATTTCATTAGTGCTGCACACTCACTGTGTGTCCTTTGTCTCCATGGGCCTTTAGTGCTAGGATTCTAGTAAAAATTAGTATGATTTTAGTGGATGAGGATACTAAATGACTTAGTCTGTTAAAAAACATAAATTTTAACTCATTTCATGCTAGCGATACTTCTCTACTTGTAGGGTGAATGAGAATAGAAAGAGGGCAAATATGCAGTATTTTGAAATTTAGTTGAAACTCAGAATGAAATATTATTTCCAGACAAATATTTTTACTTGAAACATCTTTCTTACTGTCTCCTGAAAATTGCAGTTTGGGTGTCGTAAATACCCATTCTCCTTTATAGGCTGTGTCATCAATACCCATTCTCCTTTATAGGCTGTGCTCTCTGGCAGGTGACACTTAGTAGTAGTAGTAGTAGCGACTCTCAGATTTCTAGATAATTTTAAATTATGTAGTAATATATTCATTAATCCGTCATAAACCTGTTATTCTCAGCATTTCTCACATATTTATATATCCCATTATTCTTAAGTAATGAGGTTTTATATTTCATTGGTCAATATATTCCTTTGATTTGTGACACTGTAATCTCCTCTCTTGAAGCTGGAAAGGTACTGCATCAGAGAAGATGCAATCTGGACAGGGAATATGGTCTCAGAATGTGGATATGTGATAACTGAACTACAGACTCCTTCAGAAGTCAAAGCAGCATTTTCAGTTTGTGTACATTTCAGATCATACAGGAAAGCCTTTGGGTACATTAGAAAAACCAACAAATTAATGAATCTCCAAGCAACTGATATTTTCAACAGAATGAAAACTAACATAAAAACTTACTTTGTGGAAAACTCACTTTACCTCGGTTGAAACGCTTCCATCTTTGATCATTTACGTGTACATTTGTCTTTGAGAATAGACATACTCTTATTGAAGATCAGGGATTTTATTTATTTATTGGTTTATGTATTTAATTGCCTCCTTCCTTGTACTTCTTGATATGCTGTAAAAGAAAAAAATGCCTGGCAGAACATAAGGTACTCTCAACTAAGGAAATAGTGCCTGAGGGTATATAATGCTTAATAGTACATAGATAAGGCATTTCATTAAAATTGTTTCCTGTAAACCTTTTTGATTCTTACATGCATATATAGGTCTTTTAAACCTCAGAATAACAAGGACAGGTAACTGTAATTCTAGGAATATCTAACAAAGGTATTTCTTCACAACGGTGAACCCTCAGACCCACGTCATTCCTCTTCACAGTGCTCAAGCCTTCCTTTACTCTCCATCAGGTGTACCTTCAGTGCCCACACAAAGCAGTGTCTTGGGCCAGTCTTCCACAACATCTAAGACCAAAGCTTCCCACTCTTGCTTTTTTTCCTTGATCCAGTTCAAATGTAATTCCTATTCCTGACGTATCAGGTTCACCCTGAAGGTTCAAAGACCTTTTGCACTAGATTTTTCAGTGCTAGTTGCAAAGACAGTAACTCCAGACATGATGTGAAGGCAAAGACATCACCATCACTCTTAGTGATAAAACATGAGAGTCCTCCACAGTCTCATGAGTTTTGGCACGGACTCATCAAGGTGCCTTCAATTTCTGGTGTCAGATCTTTGACCTGCTGATGGAGACTGTAACACCTGTGAATTTGTGTATCCTCAGTCCTAAGCAGTTAATTCCACTGATAAACAAAATGATCTCTACAGCTGCCTCTCACTCAAGACACAATACTCAGCGTGGCACTGATATGCCTTCTATTGTTTGGAAGATCATGTGCAACTTTGCAGAGAAACTAGTGAGAAGCATGAACAGGTCTCTCCAGAGTCCGTTTTGGTGCTGAATCTGGTGCCCTCCTGTGAAGGCACCTCTGGTGCTATCTCGGTGCACACCAGAATCTATTGATTGCTAGGGCTTCAGGTCCTGACTTGAGAGGTCTGGAGATGGATTGCTCATCAGATGTTTTCTGCTGTTAGGAAATGATTTTTTAATGATTCTTGTTCATAGTATGACTTTAATAACACGATCTAGCTTTGAAATTGATCCTGGAATTCAGTTCACACTGGTTTGAGGGCTATCCTTAATTTCTTTTATGTTAAGAAACTTCTTTCTTTTTTTATATAGAAAGGATTAAACCTGTCTGGCACTCTTATGGCTATTTATGCCCAACACTGACATTTCAAAGCAACAAGAGTCTCCCAAAGCTTTTTGAGAGGCCTCTGGGGCAGAGACATTGTGGACCATTAGAGCTTGGAATATGTAGATGACCGCTCTGAGAAGTGGATCTATTCATGATATCTTTGAACAGACCGGCAGAGCTCTGTCCTTACCATCATTAGGCACACACCTAAAGTACTTGATAGGGAAGTTTTGTAGCTATTGCCTTCAGGCAAAACTGAAAGACTCACTTCAAAGTGAAAGGATGTGGAAAAATACTGACTTTGTGTACCTACCGTGTGACTACATGTACTGTATATCATTGAAAATAGAAAGGGAGCTAATTTATCTGCTAATCTTGGATCACTGAAATGTTGTCTGCATGTATATTTGCTTTGTGGCCTCATTCATCTCTGTGGCCTCGTTCATCTCTGGTTTGGGGTAACATTCGACATCAAGTATATTAATATTCATCATTTTGATTTTGCAACTCTTTACTCCTTGCTTCTTCCTGAGCTGCCACACATCCTTTTCCTCCATTTCTGAACACGTAGAGGTAGCACTTCTGAACAATGTCCAGAATTAGGCGTTCTTTGGTACTTTAAAATGTCTTGATTGTCACTTGTCTGTAAAATTCATGTTGGGAGCTTCTGTGATGTCTTAAAAAATTTCTTATAAAATTTCAAGTGTGGAGTCCTATATACAGCTCTAAGGAATAGATCTGTAAGTGAAATTAGTTGTCTGCAAAGCCTGATTAAAACAGAGGCAGTGAAATAAAATTCTATCAGATTCCCCTCTTTAGAGGGCAAAACAGAAATGTAAGCACTTCAAGAAATCGTAAAATGATTATACAGTGTCTGTTGTGCTCAGTGATCCCCTCTAGTGCCTGCCAAGCTGATTAATTTGATTAAGATAAACTGGGCTTGCTTTGACCCTGCAGTTACAAAGCATGGCAGACTGCCTGTCATTTGTGAGCATGCAGATGTCTTACCAGGACAGCAAGCAGCTGACCTTTATCTAATTTTCAGGTTGTTGGTGAGCTGTCTTACAGGGAGGAGAGTCAGATTTACTGCTTGGAAATGAGGTTAATGTTTTGCTCTTAACATAGTAGATTTTATGAAATGGTTACTTTTCTAATCGATGTATATTTTTCTGTGGGGTGGTGAGTTAATTAAAATATGCTGCTTTAGGAGAAAGAGTATTAGTGACAGTCTGCTTGTACGTGTTTTTAGACCACGAAGGGAAGCTTCCTTTGGATGTGCCCTTTCCATCCACCCATCCAACTTTACTTTGTTATCCGCAATCTCACCCGGTCACATGACTTTGGTATATCCAAGATCAAGATTTGGAATTACAACACAACAACTCCCTGTGTAAGTAGTCTTTTCTCAACTCCTCTGTGTGTATGCTCTACCTTGCCTAGGGAAATTCAGTTTGATCTTCTTTCCAAAAGTATGAAATAAAAGTAGATACCATTTTCTCTAATAAAATAGGGAGCTAGGAGGTGTCCATGTCTACTGTGAAATTTGCTTGTCTTAATTGTAAGTGGTAACAATGTAAGTTAACATTTACATTTTCATACGTTTTCATAGGCACAATTAGTATTTTCTTTCAAAGCTATTAAAGATCTCTAAAGACCTAATAAAAGGCATGCATATTCTGTCAGTTAATCCTTTACTGTGGTGAGAAATAAAGATACAAAGGTAAATGCATCTTAATATTCAGAACTTGCAGTTGTTTTATCACGATATAAATAAATGTGTTTAAATATGTGTTTTCTCATGTATATAGGTATAAATAGGCTGAGTGTTGCTCGATTTTGGTTCTGTCACTTTAATTAAAAAGTATACTAACTGTGTGTTCATAATAAAACAAGTAATCTAGTGTTACAAGAGAGACATCTCATGGCAGATGGTCTCTTGTTTGTGTGTTTGAATGTCACCACGGAAATTATTCTTGTTTGTATACTGCAATGTTAAGAAAAAAATCCCAGGTACTGGATTAAAGAGGATTTGCTGTCCTGGATTATGAATAAGAGGCTTTATCCCTCTGGTTTTGCTCTCATCCATGTTCTTATGTAAGCACATATGGTAATTTATACTATGGAAACAGCCGTGGAAGGGACAGCTTAAACAAATTTACTACATGATTTATATTTATTTTCTGGAATTTTAATAGCTTTTTCTATTTAAATGTGGGCTACAGACTGTTCCGTCATCATTAGAGAGTGCGAAAGAGACTGCTGTTTTTGGAGGTAATAGTATGATTTGTTACCAAATCTATTGAATATAATGCAGGAAATACACATAAATGTGTTTCTGTATTTCAAGGCACTGTTTTTTTAATAAACCACCATGAGGCAAGCTGTAAAATCCATTAGGAATATAATCCTATGGATTTTGGTGGCAGTGCAGCCATCTACATTGACTAAAGAAATGTCCCATTATCCTTAAGATGAAAGAATAATACGAAGCAGTTCTGCCTAATTCTGTAATTTGTCCTGAGGAAGTTTTGTCTGAGATGTATAAAAGCCAAAAATATAATTAGCTAACAATTTTCTTCCTGGTAATGTAAATCCAGAGCCAGATTTCTGTGTTGGTTTTTTGTAATCATTCTAACCTCCTTCTTTCCCTCAGAAACCACATAAGTGAGAGGTGCCCAAGTACTTCTTCAAAAAACAGAAAAAAAATTAATTCAGGCCAGTACTTTTAGATTGTTAAAAATGTTTGAGTTTTAGAACTTAAGTCTGGGAGTAGAAAAAATATGTCTGGAGGAAGCTGTAAAAGATTACATCATTGTCATAGAGTCCTTGATTCAGTGTATTACAAGGAAGGTCTCAGAGAATGCTTCATCTTGCCTTTATTTACTTCAGATGAGATCTGCAAAAAAGGAGGTCATTTTTAGTCTGCAAGAACAGATAAAGTGTAAGTGAGGGCACCCAGTTCTTTTCAAGTTTGTCTGAAATATTCAGGCATTTTGTAAATACTTGCTACAGCCTTGAAATTGCATCATTACTTGATGCTATTAAAACTCTTTTCATAAGATCCAATGTGATGTCTGTTGTATGTCTTCACAAATCCGTGAATGGAATTAATACTTAAAAGCTTGAATGTCTTAGTTGCTCTCCAGTTGGATCATTGTCTCCTTCAAGCGATTGCCCATATACGTGTTACTCATGTGTGTATGTTCATGTCCATTCTCTTGAGTTGGAGATCTTTTTCAGTGCTGGACAACCAGTGGCGTGCATTGTCTGTAAAGATGCAGCAGCTTTGTTCCAGCGGAGTTAGGTTTATAGAAGAACTTACCTCTTTTAGTTCTTGACTTCTTTTCTAGTGCTTCTTCTTTTTCACTCTTCTGTGAGAAGTCAGGTAGAGGCAACTTCAAGTCCTCTGTCCAGGTGTAATTCGCAGAAAAATGCCTCTTGTCCTTTGTGCACAGATATCACTGAAATGGCCAGAGATATCATCCCTGTTGCTTCATTGGAAAGCACTATCCCAGCAGGCACTCTGTGAGAGCTGAATGGGCAAGCTGGGAAGGAACATCAATAGAAACCATAGAACTATTTTCCCAAAATCTTTCATTTTTTTCTCTGTGATGTTGATCATACCTACTTGCTTGTTTTGAGACATTGTGTTATTCTAATTACTCTTCTGGGAGGAAAAAACCCTGCTTTGGATGAAGTATGGAGTGTTGGTTTACAGGGTGGCTTCTTGATGGAATTACTCATGAGGAAGGCATTTCTCCAACCTCCTTGTGCCCGAGGAGAGTTAAGCAGTGGTACTAGGAGAAGCTAACCATTCTGTTGATCTTTCCCACCGCATCTGGTCACAAAGCAACTCGAAGCTCAGAAGGGGGGTGGCAGGGAATGAAAAAGAGGACTTCTTAGTCCTGAGTCTGCACACGTTTGCTCTTGGAGTCCCTGAGATCTGTTCATATTTTTCCTGCCTGAGCCTCAGTCTGCCTAGAATTTTGGTGCAAGAGATTTTCATCAGCTCTTTTACTGGTTCTTCATGAACAGATGCTTCTTCTGAGATATCAGCTGTTATTAATACCTGCCCCAATTCAGTCTGTCTCTAGTGTCTTAGAAATATCTGTACCTTTGCTTGGTTCATCTTGATACAGTCCAGACACCACTTTTGGGGAATCATAGAATGCTTTGGGATGGAAGGGACCTTTACAGGTCATCTAGTCCATCCCCCCTGCAATTGGCAGGGACATCTTCAACCAGATCAGGTTGCTCAGAGCCCCATCCAGCCTGGCCTTGAATGTTTCCAAGGACGGGGCATCTACCACCTCTCTGGGCAACCCGTTCCAATGTTTCACCACCCTCATCGTGAAAAATTTTTTCCTTATGTTCAAACTAAACCTACCCTCCTTTAGCATAAAAACATCACCCCTTGTCCTGGCAGACCAGGCCTTGCTAAAAAGACTATCCCCATCTTTCTTGTAGGCCCCCTTTAAGTACTGAAATGTTGCAATAAGGTCTTCCCGCAGCCTCCTCTTCTCCAGGCTGAACAACCCCAGCTCTTTCAGCCTCTCCTCATAGCAGAGGTGTTTCATCCCTCTGATCGTTTTTGTGGCCCTCCTCTGGAGGAAGCTTCCTATGATACCTATCCCAGACACTCCAAAACTTCAGAGAAAGGAAGTAATTTCCCACTGACTGGAATAGTAATTTTGAAGTGACTGGCCCTTTTCTGTGCTTGACTGTCCCTCTTTCAGGGACAATAAGCTTCACCATCTAATTTTATTAACGTTTTCTCTGTCTACTTTTCTTCCAGTACTGGTGGGTGGAGTGGGATTCATTTAAAAACATTTTGTTCTTAAGAGGTTGATGATTTTAATTCAAAAAGATGAAATTGACAAATACTTTTCAAAATATACATGCGTATATTTCTGTGGTTTCATGCAGTTTATATCTGTTCGCAGGTGAAAACACGGAACTAAGGTTTGAGTGTTCATAACAGCAGTAAAGGCTAGGATAGTATGTAGAAATGTTGCAGTTATCCCAAATTCAACTGTGAATATCCAATATCTCTAGCATTTAAGGGAGACATTAACAGTCCAGATGTACAAAGATTCAAAAAATAACATTACTGGGGCATCCTGATAGTCTTGCTCTTCCCCATCACAATTTCAGGCAAAGCCATGTAGATAGTTTTTAATAGATATAATTATTAAAGTGTTTTGATCCCCAGTTAGATTAATCCCCCAGTGTCCTTGTTCAAGGGGAAAAAATACCATGTTTTATGGCCAAATGCATCAGTACAGACATATACCGCTTTATGATACTCTAGGAATAACACAGGCAGCCATGACATAATGGCCAATTAAACTGAGTTTACAGCTGTTCTCTGAGAAGTTAGTGAAGGTTATCTTTTTCTATCAGGAATGTATCAGGAATGTGTCTCACGTTCCTACACCTACTCCCCTCCCTCAACCGTAGCTTTCTTGTTATGCCCGCAACTTCTGTTTTTCCCCCTGTGTAGATCCATATTACATTTTTCGCCTCATACAAGTTATTATTTGGAAAGCAGTAGAATGGCAGCTATAAAGACTTGTAGGCTGTAAAGAGTGCATGCAGGAGTGAAGAAGTGGAGACACTTGTAGTTGAAGGTGAAGGAGTAACTGGTTTAGGCTGGGAGCGGAGGAAAATTTAAGTATTTAAAGAGAACTGACATCCAGGAGATGAGCAAGAGGGATGTAACTGAAGCTTCTTACTTTCATGAAAAGCTTCTCAGTTTCTGTGAAAATAAGGAAAGAACAGAGAGTCTTTAAAGACTCCACATGATGGACATGTTACCGAAATTTAGAGGGCAGAAAGGAGATGGACTTTGTCTCATCTTCTATATTTTCTTTGAAGATACCAGTATTTTTGTTAAGAGGGAGAAAAGGTTAGATAGAAATGATAAAGAGAATAGAAAGAACATTAGTTCCAACTTCAGTGGAATGAAAAAATCAGTTTTTAGTGGATGTCACAGAAAAGGAGAACATAGAGGTAAAGTTGTGAGTAGCAGAGCTGTCTGAGATAAAGGCCTTCTATTTAAAAGGCGAGTTAAGTGTTGGAATAAGCCATCAAGGCACATTATTTGAAAATTGTTAAAAACAGTTTTCTTCACAACGGTATAGGTTATTTTACTTTCTTCAGTGGAAGGAGCTGGACCAGATGATTTTTTTTTTTTAATGTCCTTTCCAGCCCTGTATTTCTATAACTCTTTATAACTCTTTTTAATTTTAGTGGCTTTGATCTGGGTGGTTGTTCATTGTGGAACCATGTCGTGAAAGTGGTGAATCTTAAAGAGGCTGAAGCAAAATGTGCCTCTGGAATTTATATTCTGATCAAATATAATTATACTTAATCTAGGTTTCTTCGCTCAAGATTTTCTAAAACATTGTCAGCCAGTTAATAGTAATGTCTAGCAGGGTTTTTAGTCCTTTTAAATAAAATCTTAAATATTCCACAGTATTTTTCAGTTATTTGAGCTTTTGATTAAAAGTAGTCAAAATCGTGTTACTGATACAGGGTTTTAATCATTTTCATCTGTTTATTGATTTAGTGTTCAAATGTCAGAGTTCCAAAACAGTGATATCGAATGCTTGAACAGCTTAATTGAAATCTTCATACTTTCATTTTTGTAGGACCTTGATGTTGGAGTAAAGAAGGTGAAGTTATATGTTGATGAGAAGCTTGTATTTGATGGTGAATTAAAGAAAGCCTCTGGAGATCTCCTCACTGACCATAGCACTACAATTGACCTTACAGGTCACAAGCAAGATATCTCTGCATATTCTTCAAATGAAAGGAAAGAAGTATATGCACCTGCAGTCACAGAGAAGAAAGCAGACCTACATTTTCAGTGCTTACAGTCAAACAGTACTTCACTAAACTGGAAATCTCTGCCAGAAGAAAATCTTCTTGAGCATAAGATGAATTCCATCGGCTGTACAAAGAAAAATTTGTCTGCTGAGTTAGAGGATGATCTAAAATTGTTGCCATCTCAAGTTTGTATAAAAGATGCCAAAGAGAATGCAACAGTACAAGCAGTTATGGAGCACGTTCAATCTGATGATGAACTTACTTTGAGAGAGCAAATGGAAAAGCTAACAGGAAGAAAATTGTCTGATTCTACAGGTGCAATTCCTTCTTGGTTACAGTCATCTTCCCAAGTAACAGAGAATAATCAAGTTACTTCCACTAAGCAGAAGCCTCCCTGGCTTGCTACAGAACATTGTTTACGTTTAAGATTTCAAACACAGTCAGATAGAATCATGAAAAACTTTTCAGATCTGACTAGTGAGGATGTCAAATGTCAGAGAAATGAGCTGGGAAGATCCAATAGTAGAAATGCAAATGGAGATGAGAGATCACAAATACTAACCAGAAAGGATGGTGGTGTGGGCTTGGACATTTCGGAGCAACTTTCTAACAAAAATTGCTGCAGCTTACAGTATCCTACTGTAAGGAGAAGTGTCAGATGTGTAAAAAAGGAGGGTTTAAACACTATAAATCTTGGAGACGATGATTCCGCATTCAAAGGTAAGAACTCACAATAGCAACCTTAGTGCAAGTACTGACATGTTCTCCGTTTTGCAGAAGCACAGAATCATTTAGGCTGGAAGAGACTTCTTGACATTCCTGGAGCTATGGACAGTGGGATTTTATTTGTGATGTTTGCAGTATTCAGTTTTTCTCATTCATGCTATTGACAATGCTCAGTCTCTCTCCTTGTCCCACACCTGATGTGAAATGCTCTTTTTCTGAAAAATTCACATTCTGAGTTAGTGTTTTAAAGTTCATTTGGAGAAGACTGAAGACTAAATTTCAGTAAATTATATTCTAAAAATTGACAGTCCTGCAGACAGCGAATGCTTGCTAATATCAATGAAAATCGGCAAAAAGATAAAGAAGAGTGTGACCTCAAGGTAGTGAGTAAATTTACAGAGTTTATTTGTGTAGTAGGTTTGTGTCTTTCTCAGTGAGAATATATGCTGAATATATTTATTCAGAGTGAATGGAAAACTGCCCTTATTTTCCCTACTCTGCTCATGACATTACATACCTCTTTCAAATCTCTCCCTCAGACATCTCTGCTCATTTATGAAGAGTTTTCTAGTAAATTTAGCTGTTACGTGGTCCATGATTTTGATTATCCTTGTCATCCTTCTCCAAACCTTTTTTAGTTCGCCTGGATCCTGTTGGAGGTGGGGGATCCAGATTTGTGTAGTTGTGTTCTGCCTCTGGCAGTAGCCAACAGTGTGTCCCCAGCGAAGAGTGTGAGAATAGGGCAAGTTCTGAAGTTCTTTGGCATTCTGTAATTCTTCAGCATTCACTAACTTGTCTCAAATGAAGGGAGTTTGGCAGAACAAGGACAACAAGGCCCAGAGAATTGGAAGAAGAGGTTACAAAAATATGAATTGCAATTTTGGGTGTGATTTAGTAAAATTAACCATCAGAACAATTTGCATGAAAGTGTAGCTTGCTGTATATTGTATTTGCGTGTTTACATTAAAGTTATGGTCATAAGGGGCAGGAAGTTTACCTAAATGCACGAATGCCAGTTCCAATTCTACAGCAGGTATTGCATGAAGTTTTTGGACAAAGGTGAAGAGAGTGGTTCTTTCTAAACTCAGAATGTCTGAATTTTTCCTGCTGTGCCCCTCTGTGGAGAAAACAGCAATTTTGTAAGTATATCTGAAATTATACCTCAAAGCAGAAAAAAATACAGAAGTAGTTGGAATAACTGCCATCTTCCCTTCACCCACCCACTCACCACAGCCCATTTGCTGTTTCACACGTTTTACAGGATCTCTGTTTGATTAAAAACTTGTCAACGTTATGGAAACTGTAAATAAATCCCACCTTAGTAATTTATGTTCAGTTATAAAAATGGTAAAAATTTAGGAGTTTTAATGTAAACTATAAGATGAAGGTTATCATGATTCCAATTATAATGTCCTCTAATTTTGCTCAGAGCAGGCTTTGTCATCTGGTGCTTAAAACTCCCAATATATGTTTTTCCCTGGGAAAATTGCATGCCATCTACCAGCTTTTGTTCTCTCTGTACTGTACTGTGCAGGGTAAAGCCATCTTCAAAGTGGAGCTGAGTGAGCATTAACAACAGGGAAACACTTTTAAGTATTTCCCTAAAAGTGGTAAATTTCAATTGGTATGGGGCTAGGGGAACTGCAGTTTCCCAACAGCAGTATGTGGCAAAGGGGAGGCTGCACAAGCTCATATGCAATGTCACAGCACGTCTTTGGTCATTAAATGAGGAATAACGAGAACAACAGAAATTAGAAATAGCATGTACATGCATATTTGGCTCGAGTTAATGTTGCTATAAAAACATATAATTTTTCTTTGATAACTGGTTTAATGTGCAAAGGAAATGATGGAAGTAAGCTGATAAAATTTGCAAATAACATATAATTAGGGGTATTATGAGTTAAGAAGATTGAAGAACTGCGCAGAAAGATGAACTTGAGGACTGGAGTAATAGCAATGGAATGCAATGCAATAGTACTGCCTGCAAGGTCATTTGGGGACTAATAACAAAAAATGAAGTTGTAAGCTGAGTAATCATCAATTGCAAATGACCGAGGAAGGGAAGGATCTTGGTTGAGTAGTTGATAACAGATTGACTGTGAAATGCTCGTGTGACGCAGGCGTGATTATAGCAATGCACTCTGAGGATGTATCAGCAGAGGCATTTCTGTTAGGGAAATGTTAATATCTCAGCACAGGCACTCGTGAGACGTCAGTTGGAAAACTGCAGTTCAGATCATCCATTTTCAGGAAAGCTGATTACAAAGTGGAATAGATACAGAAGAGAGCTTTTAGAATGATTTGAGGAATGAAGCGTGTGATTGCAGCATGGAAATATGATTGCTATTTATAACTGCAGGGAGTAAAAATGAGATTAGCACAACAGAGGGAGAAGGTGGTTTTTTCAAGCTAGAGTTGCCCCAAAATGTAGTTTACTAAAGTTTTGAGAGGAGTTGTATGGTGTGTGTTGCCAGCAGAAGCAGGACAAGGAACTTTGTGATTCAGGACACCCCTTCTAAACCCATAGCGGAGATGCATGTTTGAGGTGTCATTATTTCTGGATTCTGTGACAGCATCAATCATACAGTCCTCTCAGGCATGCAGAAGGCTGGGAATGCATCTGTAACATCTGCAAGTGGGATACTCTTTATCTACATGCAGAGTTTATTGTTCACATGGCTCCAATAAATACCATAAATTTTAGATTCTAAAAAAAAATGCCAAACCCTGTAAGCCTTCAGCCATTAACCTCTGCTTTTGGGCTATTCTCGGCTTTCCTTTCAGAGCTCTGCTTCTCCTGTTGTCATTCCTTAATGTAGCTAACAAACCTGCTAACCTCCCATTGAAAATCACTCCTATTGAACTGCTGTAGAAGTGCTTCAGAGTTATAATCTCTGTACTGCTTGAAGTACTTAACTTTAAAAAAAAAGTTTAAAAAAAAAGGGAAAAAACCTCCAAAACAAGGAAAGCCAATGGATCTCAAATACTCTTCTGTACATGCTCATCCTGAAATTTTCAAGCTTTGACATTTTAAAGTGGTAAATATATATACAGTATCTTCTTCAGGTAAGTTGTGAGGCTCTGGGAAATACTGTTTGGGATCACCCACCCCATGAGTAGCCGTATGGACAATGGTTTGAACAAGAAGTGACTTGCAAATGACTGGTGTTCTCTGAAATATGTACCTTTGCTTCCTATCTGTATTTCCCTTGTGGGGTGGGAGGAGTGGCCAGGTTGGTCTCCAGCCTTTCATTCTAGAAGACAACCCACTTTCAGGTAGTTTCCCATCTGCTTTAAAATTCTTATTTTTATCTCACTTGTCCCCAGTGTAAATGATTATTGGCCATAGATGGATTAGGAACATTGCCTCTTTCCCAGTGTTCAAAAAAAAAAAAAATTAAAAGATGGTCTTGAGCAGTCTTTTGGGAAAACATTATTTTGCATTTTACCGCAATTGGCGCTTATTCTTGATAACCGTTCGTTTTAGTATCCACTCAAGGACATTGTACAGAAATAAAATCTAGCCCACGGGCGTGTAATTGTTTAGTACTCCACTTGCTTTTCTTCATTTATTTGAAGAAAATACATAAGTGACAGCTTTATTGAAAATCTTTGTTATTATCTGCTCTTAATTGTTTTGAGATGGAAATTGAGCAGCTCCTCAGTGCAGTCACAAGGCGAGCATGCTTTGCTCCCGCTGTGCCCCTCTAATTTGTTGCCCCCGCTGCGTTCCCATTAGGTACTTTGTCATTATCCTCCTTCTACATCTCGCACTTGCTGAAAAGTGAGAAAAACGTTTGGACATTACCTGCATGGAATGCAATGCTCGCCTCATCCTCCTTGTTTGCTGGACCTACTTCTTTTCTCACCACTTTTCTTTATATACACATGGCTGATTTTGAGAGGAAGCACTAGCTTTTCTCTGTAACGCTTTAGAAACTTAACCAGTTCAGCCATTTCCAACTGTATGAAAGATCTTCTGCAGAAACGCATACAGATGATTCAAAGTATTGTGACAGCCACACAATAAGTATCATTGGGCAAAATCCCAATTTCTGTAAGTGGTGGGTCAAGAATTCGCAGTCTCAAACTTAGTTGCATTTTTGTCTCTTGGCATGTGCTCGGCTCTTCAGTATCTAAAAGTGATTGTTTTTGTTATGTCTAAATGGGGAAGGGAAATTGGGACTTGCAGCCTTCATAATAGAGAGGCAATATAAAAGTGCTAGTGTAACAGAATTTCACAGTAAGGGAAGATGAATATGACCAGCATAATTCTGGAAAGTCCCTGTTGTAGTGGTTTGCTTTTGGTCCTGTTTATGCATTAAATGGCTATGTAATGTTGTTTTCAGATGAAGACTTTTCTATCAAGGACATAGCAACCTCTAGAGCAAAGTGGCACAATGAACAAGAACACACTCTGCAGGAGTCATGGAACTCCTTGGTAAAATTTAATTATTCCCATCGTGGCCGAATCTCTAACATGGATTTTCAAGGGGATATCTTTGATGAGTTTCTTCATCAACAGAAAATCAACCGGCCTGGAGAATATCAGCAAATGAGAAAAGAGGAACTACAAACACTACCAAAAAGGCAAGAAGAAGAAAATTCTGTGGAGGCTTATGACGGAAATGATTTTAAAATTCCTGTTTTACCTTATGGGCAGCACTTAGTGATAGACATTCAAACAACATGGGGAGACAGACATTATGTTGGTCTTAATGGAATTGAAGTTTTCAGTTCTAAAGGAGAGCCTGTTCAGATTTCAAAAATAACAGCTGAACCACCTGATATAAATATTTTACCAGCTTATGGCAACGATCCCAGAACAGTAACCAACCTAATTGATGGGGTAAATCGGACGCAGGATGATATGCATCTCTGGCTAGCACCATTTACCCCTGGAAAACCTCACTTTATCTTTATTGACTTTGTGAATTCCTGTCAAGTAGCTATGATTAGGATTTGGAATTATAATAAATCTCGCATACACTCTTTCAGAGGTGTGAAAGACATTGTAATGGTATTAGATGAACAATGCATCTTTAAAGGAGAAATTGCGAAAGCTTCAGGAACCCTGTCTGGAGGTATGCTATCATTTCTTATGTCTTTGTGGAAACAGCAGTAAAATACAAACAAATACATTTAGCTTGTTTGTTATCACTTTCCACTTCAAAGCAAGCTGACACTTTGTATAGTATTTAGTCCTTTTAATTTCAAAACAAAACCCACTAATGCATTCTTCAATGATATTGTGAATTTTAGTAGCATATAGAGCTAATCTCTATTCTTAACAATGTCTTAGCAACAAGACCATATTTCAATAACATCTGATAGTCACTAGACATGTAAAAGTTGCAGATTTTTACTTGTTTTCACAGATATGGTCTTTTGGAAAACGTGATGGAGAAGCTTTTTTCCCATTTTCTTTTGTATGTGTTTGAAATTTGCCTGAGTTCTCTAGCATATATTATCTTAACACTACTGCAAATTAAATGTAAAGAAGGACTGAAAATAGTTTTTATCACTCTGTATATTCTTTTATATGGTTTCTCCATTTAATTCTGTATGTTGCCTTCAGCTCCAGAGCACTTTGGGGATACTATATTGTTCACTACCGATGATGATATTCTTGAAGCTATATACTGCTATGATGAGACATATGATGGAGAAATGGAGAATGCCAACTCCTTCAGATACGAGGAAGAGCTAAAGAGGCCGACAACTGCGGATAGGGAGGGAGATGAAAGACCTTTTACACAAGCGGGGTTAAGAACAGAGGATCAACAGGTAGGGGCCTCTATGTTCAGAACTCTCTATAAATGTCTTTCTGAAACATGACATGGAAGTAGGAGACACTGATTTCCATGATGGAGTAAAGCTTGGCAGAAGAACTAATACAGCTATCTGTCTATTTTGAAGATTTTTTTTTTCAGCAGCTCAATAATTTATGCAATTTTTTAAGCCCAGAAGGTCCTCCAAATTTTGGTTTCCCTGATTAATTAATAAGACTGCAAGGAAAGCTCTACTTACTTGGACAGATTAGAGGGAGTTCTTTTTGATTTAGGTACTCCTGAAGGTTTACGCCACTTCAGTGATTTTTACCATACAGTTATTCATGTAATGAGTAGCTGTGCTCTCTGTCACTGCAAACCAAAGATTTTTCCATATTTTCCACTCAGAGTATACTCTTGCTTGTTTCATCCTCCACCAATTAAGTATCTTACATGAGAAGGTACTTCTACCCTCTCAACCCTCCCCTTATTTTTTCCTCTTTCCTTTTTTGACTAGCGTCTCCACAGGTCTGTGTGCATTTTGCAGCATAAAAATGCCCCTTTACTATTCTATACAGTAAGTATTTTACTGCTTGGAGGAAGGCCATATTTTCAAGCACAGGAGTCTTGCCTCATACCACTCCAGCCCAACAGTCCAGAGTCTGAGCAAAGATGCTGCAAGAATTTCTGCTCAAGATGGTGTGGGGCAGTCTTTGACCTGATTTCCATCAAATCTTCTACCTTCTTAGAATCTTCATGAGCACCTACTGTTGCTTCAGTGAGGGTATCTTTTTTGGGGGGACACACTCTTACTTGTAAGTCTGTAAGGAGATCCAAAGCTGAATCAATCCAAATTCCAGCTGGTTCAGCTAAAATACTCCCAGTGATATATGGTTCCTAATGAGCCTTGTGCTGTTGTCAAGCCTTCCTGTTCTGTCTTGTCCACTTCTCCTGGTGGCTTGTAAGACAAAGGGAAATGTCGTGACATTGGAATTTGATCTCACTGTTAAGATCATGAGTCGGTGACTCTAGCTCTTTGACTTCTCCAGTGCTAGTTAACACTGGCAACAGTAATTTTGGTCCCATCTTTGCTTGCGGTATCGTAAACCGTTCAGACACCTTATGCAGTGCAGGATTTCATGAACACAAATTGAGTTCACCTTCCTTTTCTTGATCACTTGTTTATTGTGAGCATTCACCAGGACCTCTTCCATTGCAGAACCCTAGACCTGGACTGTCTGGTCCTTAATCAGAGCCTCTGCTTTTTATTTTGCTGTTCATCTCTGATGCTCTTCATACTCCTTTTCTAACTCTGAAACATGCTATATCAGCAATGGAATAACAAAAGCTATTGTGACTAAGCCATTGATCTCCCTGTCATTCTGTATTTGCTGGTACCATCAAGATTTTGCAGATGGATGCTTATGCTATAAGAATGATACAGATCTACTAGATGATTTGTCTTCCCCAGCATAATGCTGTCATTCAGACTAGTCTTGGGTTTGAACAGTCTCTATCTGTTGATCATTCACCCTTTTTTCCTGTAGCATGTTCGGTAGGTGAAATAGTGTTTTACTGCACTGACTACAGAACTTTTCAAAAGCTCTTACGGAAGTGTCTTACTTTCTTGTCAATATTATCCATGGTCTTTCCCATGAATTCAGTAATCCTTAACATGTCAACTTTTATAGCAGGTCAGACCTCTAATTAGTGCACTTGACTCAGCTCTGTAGCCAATAGTGGATGCCTGGGGAGAATGTAAGAGTAGAGCAAACATGCAGTGGTGTTTCTCTGAAACACTCATCCAGCCCTTAGAAATTTGTCTCACAAGGACTTTTTGACTTAACCTTTGTGTTTAGTATCCTGCCTTGGATTTTTGTTGCATTAATTCATCCACTAGCTTTTTGAACCCATGTGCACTTTTACAACTTACAATGTCAGTGGTAAGTTTCCCAGCTTAACTTGCATAGCACAAAGAACCTATTTCTGTTCATCTTTAGGTTCATTTAATGTCCCATAGTTTTTGTGTTGGAAGAAACTAAACAATTATTCCCTATTCCCTTCTTCAAGCCACTCAAGACATTTATGCTCTGTTACTACCTCTTCTAAATCTCTGTTTTCCAGAATGGTTAGTCCTACTTTAGCTATTCCTCACATGGAAGGTGCTATACAGTATGGTCAGGCTTAGGAGTGTGGTGATACTTTCTACTTTTTATTGCTTTTCCAATAACTCCTGTACTATGGTCGTATTTTGTTCTAGCTGTAAGCATCTAAGAAGAGAGGTAGAACAATGTTCACAAGCAGAAGTAGTTGAAATAGTAGAAAATTAGACCATATCTGAAAGAAAAGATAGTGGGCACCAGTGGAATAAAGGGATCTGAGTAGCCAAGAAAGGAGGAAGAGGAAGAAAAGAGGTGATAAGGTGGCTTGGCCCAGATGGTTTATGGCCTGCAAGGGAGGGCATTATTCAGCATTCTATAAAACCAGTGGCTTTATTGCATCCATGGGTTTTGATATTCAGTGGAGTTGTAAATTTTAATTCCTAGGCTGGTCTTTTAAAGTTATTCTGAGAAAAAAACATCAGACATCAAAGACAGAGTCACTGTTCTGCGAGGAAGGTACACCCAATAGGAGGGTTTTTTTCCATCTTCTGTAGGTTACTGTGTGTGTTTATTTCAGTGCATAGTTCTTGTTCAATTTCACCTACTTAATTTCCACAAGGACATTTGCTGCTACGTGAAGTATATTGCAGTCTGGAAACATATACATATAAGATCCAGGATGTCAGTGGTTATACTGCAGAGATCTAATATAACAGTAGAAGAAAAGTGTTGACAAGCCTTTTATTTTTTTTTTTAGGCACAAAGTAGGTCCATTTGATGTATTCTGGATGACAGGAAGTCTACTTCTAATGATGAAGGAAACTATAGAGAATGAGTCTGGACTTCTAATTTCCTATTTGGCTTTTTGACTACTAATGAGGATTGAGCTGATGTTTTTGTAGAACTATTTATAATAATGCCACAATTTCTTTCTAATCTGCTATTATTTTGTTTGGAGCCCAGTACTGTATGTGTACAGTTAGGATTGTTTTCCTTGTGTAGCATTTTTACATTTACCTACAGTGAACATAATTGGCCATTTTATTACGCTCACTCAATGAAATGAAGTCGATCTTCAACCCTTTGCAATTGTCATTTGTCTTTACTACCCTAATTGCCCCGCTATGATCAGCAAATTTTATCATCTGTATATTCACTTTCTGGTTTGCTATGTTGAATAGCATAAGCTATGATGAATTAGCATTGTCAAAGAACAAATGCAAGCTTCGGACAAGTTTGCTTGTTTATTCTGCCCCTTGATTCTTGAGAAGAAATTGTAGTGGCACTCTCTGAGGTCTTAACTTCCTTCCAGACTTCTTGTCTCTGTAACATATTTGCAACATGTTGCAAATACAGCATATTATCATTATCTAATGGCAGTCTGCAGGTAAATAAGAGTGACTTAAGAATTTCAGCCTCTTTGAGAATAGGTAGCCCACACTAGGGAGTCTCTTATTTAACACTCTTATATGCACTAACAGAAAAAATCCTTAACAGTCTTGACTTTCTAAGGACCCATATGATCTTCTACATCTTGGGGCATGTTTTCCATTATTTGCAGGACAGCCTGGGTGGTGAGGCAAAGGGGAGATTGTTATGCAAAAGCTGGATGTAAAAAAAAAAACAAACAGAAATAGACAAAAAAACCCACCAACCCCCCCCCCCCCATAAACAATATTTCTGTAATGTATATATGATATGCATATTCATTGCACCTGTTGGTTTACTTTTTAGGTTCAAGAGCAAAACCCTCTCTCTGAATGTATACCCAAGGAATCAGGAATATTTACTGGAAAATGTAAGTTCTTACATTTACTTCTTGCTTAACCACCCTCCCCCCTAACATGTTATCAAGGAGGATCTGATTTGTCAGAGCTGTGCAGAACTTTGTGACAGACATCAGGTCTAGAATAAAGACGAGTAGTTGAATATTTAAGGCAGGAGCTTTGTTTATTATGGCTTTGAGAACATTATATGGTAACAGTTGGCTTTTAATCTCAGAAAAATAACACTAGCCATTTGCCTAGTCCCTCAATGGGATTTGTAATAGCTGTGTCCATTACCCAGTAATTCTCTCCCAATCCTATGTATTTATGTAGACTAACTGAATTTCTCAGATCAGATTGACAATAGAAACCCTACAATAAAGCTAGACCAGAATGTTACATCTGGTTCTTAAAGTACCTGATTTCTTTATCCTGTACAAAACCAACTCTCTGTGGGCCTTTAAATCATTTTCCAGAGAGCTTCTGGGTGGCCCAGAAGTTTCAGTGTCAGTTCCTGGTCCTTTGACCAGCACAAGAGAAATTGGGTTCTTGGGTCTGGCATAAAGTCTTTAACAACCTGTGGTGTGCTCTCTGAAAATACACACAATGCTGTGGCTTATTCAGCCACATATCTGTGAGCTATACCTATGATCTGTGATCTATAACCTATGAACTATATCTAGATCTATGAACTTTATCTATGAGCATGTCTACAATCAATTCATATTTGTGAACTTAAGATGCCTTTCCCTCTTCCCATTTCTCAAAGTGGGTGAAAAAGATAGTGAGGGTGTGGTTCAGAGCTCAGCAGATGCAGTCTCTCATACTGACAAGGTATTGTTAATCAGCTGATGGGCTAACTTGTCTCTATCAGACAAAGAGGTCCTGATGCCCATGAGTTCTTGCAGGGAAAGAAGAAAGCTCGTTGCATTTAAGGGAGGCTTTCCATGTCTTATGAAACGCAAAAGAAACTCCAATTTATTGTCTTACACAGGAAAAAATGTCCGTTAATTGCTACAAGGGACTATCTTTGTAAATGACTTTGCACAAAAGGAAAAAACTAAGTAGAAGCTACAACCTGACTTTTGCCAATGATTTCTACGTACCCTGTCCTGCCTGTGTATATTGTTCCTTGTTCTCCTTATGCTGTGGGGTAGTCCCTTAAACCTGGAGTGAGAGTCCTCTTGCTTCTTCTTGTTTTGGGAAATTACTGGGAACTGTGCAAAACTTAAGATCAGTACAGCCTTTTTCATCTGGGACTCCTGGTAATAAATTGTGCATGGAGTCACTGAGGATTTGTATCCTTAACCTGTTGTAGGTAGTTTTCATCTCTTTCATCCTGCTGCCAGTCACGATGTCAAGGAGAAATAGTGCCTCAAAGTGTGATTATCACTGGGACAAAGGCCACCTGGTGGCTGGTTACTAGAGGTGTCCTTCGGGGATCAGTACTATAGTCTACACTGATTAATGTATTTTTTTTAAAGAACTTGGATGATGGGATAAAGTGCAATCTCAGCAAGGTTGTGGATGTTACCAAACAGAGGGGAGTGGTTGATATGCTGGACGGCAAGGCTGTTCTTCAGAGGGACCTCAACAGGCTGAAGAAGTTATAACCTAATGATGTTACCTAATGTAACCTCATGAAGTTAAGGGCAAATGCAAAGGCCTGTGTGTGGGATGTAATAACCCATGCCGCAGGGCAGGCTGGGGGCCAGCTGGCTAAGAAAGCTGCTTTGCACTGAAGTGCCTGAAGTCCTTGTAGGACTGCAAATTGAACAAGAGTCAGCAATGTGGCTTTGCAGTAAAGGCAGCCCGCTGCCTCCTGGGATGCAAAAATAAAAGTGCAGCCAGCAGGGCAAGGAAGGGGATTCTTTCCCTGTATTTGACACTTGTGAGACTGTATTTGGAGTACGGTGTTAAGTAAGGAGCTCCCTAGGACAAGAAGAAAATTGACATCCTGGTGCAAGTCCAGTGGAGGAGGGTGACCAGGATGGTCAGGCAGCTGGAGTACCTGACATGGGAGAAAAGCATGAGAGAGCTGGGTTGGTTTGTTCATCCTGGAGAAGAGAAAGTGAAGGGGAGATCTTCTTGCTGTTTATAGCTATTGGGAGGGCATAGAGAGGACAGATCCAGGCCGTTCTCAGGGATGCACATAGGGTTGGGTTGAGAGGCAGCAGAAACAAGGTAGAAGGCAAGAATTTCCAACTGGATATTAGGAAATCTTTTTCACCCTGAGGGCAGTCAAACACTGGAACAGAGGTTGAGAGAGGTTTTGGAATCTTCCAGCCTTGGAGACATTCAGACTTCCACTGAATAAGCTCCTGGTAGACCTGATCTAATGGACATGCTCTGAGCTTGGAGTCAGACTAGAGACCTCCAGAGGTCCCTTCCACCCTGCACCATTCTGAGATTCTATGAAGGCATTGGCATGGCGATATGAATATTAAACCTGGTGTGGATAGCTGCTTCACCCTATCTTTTCCCTTTTGTTTGAAAATATACTCTGGTTTTGCCTGAGAACTCTTGCATGCTTGTACACTAAGCAAGTTTAGTCTTAGCAATGGCCTTGGGAATAGCATGTAATATCAATGTAGCCATAGCTCCAAACTTGTCAGGTAACAGAACTATTTATTTCTTAGTGTCCTTGCAAATGCTAAAAAGATCTTACACCCAAGTGAATTTATGTGTATATCAAGACTTAGTCTCGTGTAAATTGCTATGACTATTTATAGGTAATTGGGCTGGATGGCTTAATAGCTTTAATGCTTGTTTGTTTTACAGGGCATCATGCCTACTGGTACTTCTTTAGACATTATCCAACCTGATTATTTCTGGGCTTCTGTAACGTGTGAAATGAAAGATATTTTTAATTCACGGGGATGGATTTTTATGGAACCTGATCAGATTGGAATATTACCTGTTATATCTGTATATGCTATTTATGTTTTTTCACTAAGGCATGAAACAGGTGGATCTGAAGATACATGTACAATTTTTTGTCTGCCCAATTTTTCTTTCCTATTTATTTTCTGGAGATGCAGGCTAATCAACATTGCTGCTTTTCACTAGTGCTGTCCCATTAAAATACTTCCATGTGTCAAGTTCTGACGTGAAGATAATAACTTAAAGACATTAGTAAACCAAATTTGTTTCTTGGCTTAACTATGAGTTGGTGTACTCTAACAATTTATGGGTTTATGAGAGACTGGATTTATATGAGTCTATATAGTCACTTAGCTGGCTAAAGATGATAGATAGACTTCAGACTAATAGGTCTTCTCTGTCTCTGCATAATCACAAAATCTGTCATGTAACTACTTAAATGTATCGTTGAATTACTGTCAGTCTACAATCTATGTAATGAGACACTTGATAACATGCTTGATCAGGGGTTGTATAGTTACAAGCGAACAAGATGTTGGTAGTCCACTAAAGGGATCTAACACAGATTTACACAAGATGCTGTGCTATTCAATGGAGGTAGGCATGCAGACCAGGAAGTATCCAAATACAGCATCTAAAGTTATTTAATCTAAACAAAACACACATATTGCTAATTGTTGGGGTTTGCATGCATGCTTATATTGGCTCCTTACTTCAAACTAGTAAGTATGTATATAGATATATTATATGTATATTCTTTTATATAGGCCTGCAACTGAATTTTACCATGACCTGGGGTGACTGTCATTACCTTGGACTGACAGGACTTGAAGTGATAGGAAAGAATGGTCACGCATTAAAAATAAGTACAGAACAGATTTCTGCTTCACCCCAGGACTTAAATGATCTTCCAGAGTATACAGGAGATTCCAGAACATTAGAAAAGTAAGTAGCAAAAGAGTTGGATTGTGCAAGCATTTTCTGCAGGGCTCTTTTTTTTTTTCCTTCACGCCTGTTGTTTCCACCAACAGGTTTAGAGTTTATCAATTTTAGATGAATTTTACATCAAATTTTATAAAGTGACAGAATGATATAAACTTTTATTATGTTAACACATGTTAATGCAAACATGATTTTCATACCATCACAGCTCATTTTTGGATTTCACAAGCTACCCAGGAACAGCTTGTTGTAGACACATGAATGAAATGTTTCCAAAGGATGGTGTTTGAGTTAGGAGATGATAACATGCCTGGTTGGTATCTCTGCTAAGGACTTTGCAGGCAGAAGTGTGGGTGTTCTGTAGCATCTGTCTATGCATATGCAGTGATATTTATGCAGGATTTCTGGATAATTTCAAGGAAAATTTTCAAGTTAGCAAAGGGTGGGGATGTATTGCACAAATAGGTACCGTTCTTTTGGCAATTCTGCAGCTTTTTTTTTTTTTTGTAATTCCAATGAAGTTTTTTTCATTTGTAAGTATGCTTCCTCAAATCAACTTGTACTTCCTAAATGGTAGCAATATAGAAATTGTAGGCGATAGGTCTGGAGAGGACTTGGCATTTGTTGTTATTGAAGCTGCATCCTGTTGTTTTGGAGTCATATTGCAATTTTAATGGTTTTTTTCAGTTGTTATCCTGTCCTCTGGTATGTTTATGGTCTTGTGAATAAGTTTATGAATTAGGATTTCTCTTTTCAAAGTCTTTGTTGAGTTTTCCTTAGAATCTTCTGTTTATCTACATGTACACTAACTCGGTTCTTTGTAGTTTCTGCTAATCTAATACGGATGTCAAGCTTACTTGTATATAATTCCTCAGTTCTTCTGCCTATTTGTATGAAAATCTCTTCTGTAGGCATCAAGATCTAAGAAATCTTCCCATGAGATCCCCTGTGATGAAGAGATTCTGGTGATGGAGTCTCTCCAGGCTCCACCATGATGGACTCAGATGCAAAGAAGTCATTTAGCTTTTCTGTTGGTGTCTTATCTTCTCCAAATGCTCCTTTCACAGCCTAGTCATCTGTTGATCCTACAGAATTTCTGGCAGGCTTTCTGCTCCCGATGCATTTGAGGAATTTTATTTATGGCACCTTTTACTTGCTAGCCTTCATTCTCTTTTTTGGCCTGTGCATATGCATTTAGCCTCCCAGAGTTTATGATCCTATGAATTTAGGATTTTTTTATCATGACTTTTGTTGAAAGATGGCTTGTAATAACTTTCTTTTTCCTGCCACTGAGCCAGACTGGCTTTGATTTTTCAAGTCGTCCCTCTTTCTAACATCTTTCTTAGTAAGTGGGATACATTTGTTCTGTGCTTCCAGTATGATGTCCTTTAATATTCTCTTTGCTGTGATGATTTGATTTTGTTTTGTTGCTCCCCTTTTTTTTTTTAACATACTTCATAATTTTCATTTAAGAACCTTTTCGGGCACAAGAAATAGGGGCTTTTTTTTTGCTTTGGATATTTCTGCAAGCATGTTGAATTTGAGTACACTACAGTGCTCTTCAACTGTAGCATTTGGAATAGCTCCTGTGTACTGTTCAGGACCAAGTCAAGGATTATGTTTTCTCTCATGGGCTCCCTAATCAGTTCCTCTGTGAAAGAGTCATTATTCAAATCTTTTTCTTTAAGGAACTGCCAAGTCTGGCACTCATTCTTCCATTAAATTTTTAAATAAATAGTAAGTACATAGGGCAGTGTATAAAAGTAATTACAGTGGGCAATGTATTCATATTCTCCTTTACTCCATCTTTGTATGCCATATTTTGTGGTAGAAGACTATAAAGTCAGAATTCCAAAATGAGGAAATAATGGAATTAACTTTATCTAGTCAGCCTGAAGTCTGTGCTTTTATGAAAAGACATTGCCATGCTGGTAGATAGCTTTTCTAAAAAGTAAGAGTGTGCCTAACTATGTGCATGAGGAAGGATGTGAACAAACTCTGCTTCTTCTCCACGTTATCCAGCTCCTTGTTGGATGCAGTATAGTTGCTTTGGCATAGTAACACACTGCAGAGTGCCAGGTATACTAGTTTAGGCATGGAACTATATTAATAAGTTATATTGTGTCTGGACGTTAGAGTTTTGCCTTCGGACATTTTGGCACAAAGGTCATTGAGCTTTCCTGTGTCTGCCCCTGTTCACACAGGGAAAACCTAAGTTTTTTTCTGTTTTTCCTCAAACAGACCCAACTAAAGGAAATACGTTTTTTTTTTCCTTTGCTGTCTTTAATTCAACAATTGCATATTATTTTTGGATGTTTACTGTGCTTTTTAATTGCATGCACATGGGCACAATAAGCCCTGGAACCTGGAAGTGGCATCTAGAAAAAAATTAACACCTAGTAAAGTACCTGATTTTCATGAAAAAAGCAGGCTTTTCCTTTTTTGCAGCTAATGGATTTTTCTCTTTGTAGGTTAATAGATGGGACTAATATCACAGTAGAGGATGACCATATGTGGCTCATTCCCTTCTCTTTTGGAGAAGATCATCTGCTCACAATCCATTTTGATAAAATTGAAAGTATTGCAGGGCTTCGCTTTTGGAACTATAATAAATCTCCAGAGGATACCTTTAGAGGGGTAAGTAAAAGAAAAGGAGCACTGCCAGCAAAAATATACAGCAGTGCATTGGAAAATTGGTACTGTGATGAATGAATATAGCTGCCTTAATGGATCACCATAAATCTTTCTAGATTGTCTGAGTCTGAATTTTGTGGCAGGTATAATGCATTTCTGTCTCCACAAACAGCAAATATTGAAAAAAAAGCCGGAGGTAGTTTAAAGAAATCTTCACAGCTGATTTTTCTGAGAGACACATACAATAGCACATATTATTTTAACACATATGATTCTGAAGTGTTATCCTCTCAGTATCTAGTATTTAGGTCTACCATATGATTCTTTATTTCCTGGAACACAGGGAATGGTAGAACAGGGGACACTTCTCCAACAGAAATTCTGTTCAGGTAAGTTACAGAAGGCCAGTAAATCAATACTGCCTTTTCCAAGAGGCAAAAAGAGTCTCTAGAACTCTAACTTTTATTAGGGAAAGCAGACATCTTCAAACAGTTTGACTAAAGTAATTTAGCTAAAATTGTATAACATACCTCCTCTCTTCTTTTTCCAAATTGCTTGTTTTATATTTTTTTCATATTGAATTCTTGGAACTGACTGGCAATTGACACCTGTGGGAGGTCGTGTTACATCTTGCTAGCACTCTGAGTTTGGCTGTCCCTCATTTCCCTGGTTTTTCTCAGAAGCTATACATGCACTTGTAATGCTAATGAAGAAGTAGTTGCTGTTCACTGCCCACAAAGTTTATGCATCCGTTTGTTTCCAGATCTTCCCCTTCACATATAACTGTTGCATTCTTGATGTCCAAATGCAGTCAATAGATAAGAAGAAAAATGTTGGTATTTGTTAAACTAGAGAGAGACAGGACAAAAAGAATTGGCAAAGTTTTGGAAAAAATTCTAGAATTTAAGTTAGAGGCATGGATCCTTCATAGGATTGGGCAAGATAGTGGCAAAAGTTGCAGAACTGCTTCTTTGTGTAAATTTACCTTCCGGGAATTGCTTTAATATGAACACTACATAAATAGGAGGTGTTCCCTCTCCACAACAGAGTGATGGCATCTTTTAATATCAGCATGGGGTGTTGTTGAGCGCCAAAGACTGGCCAAAGACTCCCAGAGGGCCAGAGTGTAAGATCTTTCATTTAAGCCACAATTGATCTAGAGATTTTAACACATGGGACAGGATTTTGTAATACATGGCATTAACCCAACATGTTTGACACATGGGAGGGTTCAGGAGCATGTTGAGTTTACCATCTAAACATACCTTGTGTATAACAACTAGGTTTTCTTAGTAAAATCTGTTACTTAATTGATATGATTCAGCATAAAGAAAGGACTTCTAACTATGAGAGTGGTACAGCTCTGGGACAGTATGCAGTGATGAGAGACTTTCAAAACTAAATTTGACAAGGCCCAGAGCAATGTGATTTAGCTTTGCAGGCTTCTCTGCTCTGAGCAGGAGCTGTGACTGGAGAGATGCAGAAGTCCCTTCGAACCTAAATCTTCCTGTGATTCTGTGTACAAAATGCAATATGAAGAACTGTCTTTAAGTGGTGACGTGGAATGTTTTTCACTACAGTCATATGCCCAAGGTTCTCCAAGGCAGAGCAGGGGAGAAGAGTTTGAACATGAATTTTCACACCAAATCAACTCCCTGTATGTGTTATTAAAGGAGGGAAAGAAATAGCCAAATCCTTAAAATCTAACATGGAATTTGGTCTTTGGAGGCCAAACCAAGAAAGAAAGAAAGAAAGAAAGGTATATTTTCACAGTTTGCTTTGCTAGGTAGAAAAACGAGGTGAGTCTGACAAAGTATGCATGCAGGTGGCACGCCTATAAGTCCCATAACAGTTAGTGGGTACAATTTAAATGAGTTCATATCTGCAGTCTTCTAAAAGTATAAAATAAATTATTTGGAAAACTGAAGATGCAAGGTATCTGCTGGGCCACAGTAAAGAGGCTTTAGACTGTAAACCTAGGGCATCATGACATCTGTCACTTGAAGTATTGCTGTTCCTTCTAAGAAACAGTCCCCGAGTATGAGATATAATGATTTGCTAGGCAGCTGTAGACTGGTGGATTCTATTCACAGCTTTAGTATGAGAGGGTAATGGCAGTGAACTGTCAAAATGAAGGCTTGTGTACTATTTCCAGCTCTATGAAAAATTACCTTGTGAAAGCTTTGTTATGCGATTTGTAAAATGCTATGTGTGATGGTTGAGTGCCTTCTCAGATGATGAAAATTACTTAGAAATGAGGGCTGTAAAGGGCACATAAATATAAGCAGCTGTGGTATAATAGGTAAGATTTCATCTCTAGGTCTCTAGCCTTCCCATTCAATACGTGTTTCCTAAACTAAAGTGTATTTCAGTGGATTTTTCACTTCCTCTCCTTAGCCTGGCAGACTGATTCAGCTGGAAAGTAGCATGCAGAAGAGTTTCTGATATGAAAAGGATATTTCCTTTCTTTGCTCCTAAGCTTATTACAGATGAAACCAGAAACAGTTATTTCTCCATACGTGGTACTCACACAAACATTCTCTCCTAATTAATCTTCATGCTGTTGGAAATGAACCGAGCACCTACTCTAGTCTAGTACAATACCCAAGGTTTTCAAATCAAGAAATGTTTGTGTAAAAAAAAAACAACCCACAACTTCCTGAAAATTACTTGCTTTTGGGATATTGCATGTGTAACTTACTGAAATTGTAATTGAATAAAATCATTTACATATGGAAAAAATATGAAAACAGTTATGAATATCAGGTCACTAATAATATACGGGCTTTGCAGAAACTCTGAAAGTTTTTAAGTTCTTCTCAGATAGACACCTGAAATGGGAATTTTAACTATAAATATTGCATATATATTTTTAATAGAAATCCTAATAATGAAAATTAAATATTTGCATACGAAACTAAGTTAGCCTCAAATTATCATATATACATCATTCATTATAAAATCCAAAGATTAGAAAACTGACTCACATTACCTTTAGACTAAATTAAGACTTTTGTTAACTAAATGAATCTATTTTGGTTCAGTCCATTAATCAGCAAGCTTTCATCATAGTGGCAGTAAGAAGGTCATCTTGTTATATTTTACAAGTATTATTCCTTCCTTAACCAGTAGTTAGTGAAAGACTCAGTGCAATAAATGCTGCTTGTGATTAATGTTAAGTTATATTTCACATATTTCAGGGCAAGATGCAGTGATAATTGTTGCTGCATGATTGAATTGTTACGTGACTGGGATCATGCATACAACACCAGATGGTGCTAATGGGGAAGGGTGAAGGGGCCAGGACTCCTGCATCATCTGAATAAGTATGCCTGAATTATTTAGTTTAATCTTCAGAGATTGTATAAGACATGCACGCATCTATGATGTGGACAAGGCTCAATTGTTTCTGCCTGGTAGGGTACCTCTTCTTTATTCATATGCCCTTAGGTTACATACAGCACTGCCTGGTAGATGAGATTGCATGATCCTGGAAAAGTCCAAGTGCCACCTGCCTTCTCTTCTCCGGGCTGAACAACCCTGACTCTCTCAGCCTGTCCTTACAGGAGAGGTGCTTCAGCCCTCTGATCATCTTCATGGCCCTCCTCTGGACTCACTCCAACAAGTCCATCTCCTTCTTATGTTGGGGGGCCCCAGAGCTGAATGCAGTACTCCAGGTGGGGTCTCACGAGAACGGAGTAGAGAGGGAGAATCACCTCCCTTGACCTGCTGGTCACGCTGCCTGTGACGCAGCACAGGATATGGTAGGCCTTCGGCTCCTCTATCACTTGGAGAAGGAAGTTGTCATCAACACATTCCAGGAACCTCCTGGATTGCTTATGCCCTGCTGTGTTGTCCTTCCAAAAGCTATCGGGGTGGTTGAAGTCCCCCATGAGGACCAGAGCTTGTGAACGTGAGGCTGCTTCTATCTGTCTATAGAGGGCCTCGTCCGCTTGGTATTCCTGGTTGGGTGGCCTGTAGCAGCCCCCCACTATACTGTCGCCTGTCCCTGCCCTCCCTTTAATTCTGACCCATAAGCTCTCAGTCAGCTCCTCATCCATCCCCAGGCAGAGCTCCATGCACTCCAGCTGGTCATCGACATAGAGGGTGACACCCCCTCCCTGTCTCCCCTGCCTTTCCTTCCTAAAGAGCCTGTATCCTTCCATTCCAACACTCCAGTCAGAGGAGCCATCCCACCACATCTCTGTGATGCCAGTAAGGTCATAGCCCTGCAGGCATGCACACATCTCCAACTCCTCTTGTTTATTCCCTGTGCTACATGCATTTGCATAGAGGCATTTAAGTTGGGCCCCCAATGAAGCTGACTTACTGGCTGGAATTCCTTTGTGCTGCTCTTCAGGTGCTCTCCTGCTGACCTGTGATCCTTCTCCAGGCCCCTATCTATTGCTGGCACTGGTATCAAACTTGTAGGAGTGGGATGGATTGAGATTCTCGTCCCCCAGAAACTTTAGTTTAAAGCCCTCTTCACCAGCTTGGCAAGCCTATGACTGAAGATGCTCTTCCCCTTCTCTGACAGATGGACCCCATCAGCCCCCAACAGACCAGGTTTCTCAAAGCAAGTCCCATGGTCTAAGTAGCCGAATGCCTGGATGACTTGAAAGCTGAGTCTCTCCATTCTGTTGATGTGTGTATGTATTGCTGCACGCTCAGGAATCATAGAATCATTTAGGTTGGAAAAGACCCTTAAGATCGTCGAGTCCAACCATAAACCTAACACCACTAAACCATGTCCCTAAGCGCCACATCTACGCATCTTTTAACTACCTCCAGGGATGGGAACTCAACCATTTCCCTGGGCAGCCTGTTCCAATGCTTGATAACCCTTTCAGTGAAGAAAGGAAGCTTCAGTTTGCTGAAATCTAGTGAGATGCAGTAATTGAAGGGTCTCTTCGATACATTCTTTTTTCTTATTTTTCCCCAAATCCTCACCTCTCCCATCCCCATCAATGTCAGCTGTGACGCTCTGAACTGCACACTGTGGGTTGCAACTGGTATCTGCTGGCGTAGGCTTTCTTTTGCCAAAGGATGTCATACTATAGAGGAATTAAATAAATATAACAAAATTATTGAAATTGTTTCAGCCTCTGAAGTGAATGCAATTGTGATGGATCGATTTTGTTTTATGTAATGTCATGTCATGTCATATAATGTTATGTTACGTTATTTTAAACAAGGCTAAGGTAGTCCATGTGTTGCTGGATGGTCACAGCATCTCCCCACCAGAGGGCTTCCTTATCCGCAAGGGACCAGGCAACTGCCATTTTGACTTTGCCCAAGAAATTCTCTTTCTTGACTATCTGCAGCCCCAGCTGATGAATAAAGTACAAAGGAGGTAAAGTAGGATGTTTTTGCTATCTGCACCCATAACTTCTCTTAACTGTTTAGTATTCTTTCATGTTCTCTCTTGAAGCTAATTGTATGAGGCACCTGGATGAAAATATGAAGCACTTAGAGCAAAATGTTTCATTGGGTTTTAAGTATATACTGTTAATCAGATTTTATTGAGATCAGAGGACAATCTAGTCCATAATTGCAGGTGGGGGGGGTTGGGAGGTGGTGTTTGTGGAGGCTTAGTTCTGTGTTTTTTTTCCCGTCTTTTCTGAATGAGCCACGGGTACATAAAGAAACTTATTTTGTCTTGGTTTTTTTTGGCAGGACTGGTTCAAAGAGAATGGAACAAGCTAGTATGGACTATGAAGCACCGTTAATGCCATGTGGTTGTATCCTTCTCTGCCATTTTCTTACTTGTCATTTAGAATATTTGAGAGTTATGTACTATGGTTATGAGTCCTGACCTTTTGGATCCAACAATTTCTGGTGCTTTAAGAAATTAACAAGATACTAAGAATATGAGAAAGGCTTCCGTTAAGTATAAGTTAAGAATAAACAAATGGAATGTAATATATGAATGTGTAACCTGTTTTCAGATACTCTGGTAGAGTTTTATCCTGCCTTTTATCATCCATCCAAGCTGGAGCTAGAGGTCCATTAGCACAGTATGCAGCCAGCCTATCAAAGCTTGAAGTAGTCTTTGTATTTTTGCATATCATTGATTGTTCATCTCATTTTATATCTTTATTAAGGTTGACCAGAACTGTGTACTATTTTTGCCATTTTTCTTAACGTTTGTGGCTTTTTAAGCTTAAGTTTTCCTAGATAAGCACAGCCTTTTGTGATAATACTTACTGTCATGCCATCCACCTATTTGACGGACCTTTTAAATCCATTAGGCTCTTCTAACCAAGTTTGGAGACAATGAGGTCTCAGCAATACTAAGTTCCTGCTGGTTTCATGAAAATCAGTGTCTGGGTAGAGCAAAGAGATACAAATGAGTGCTCCATTAGAGAAATGGACAGCACAGACTCCATCATTACATTTTCTGCCATTCAATTTGGGGGCTTATTTGCTGGCCGATTATCACCCCTATAATCCAAAGCCAGGCAAAGGCTTATTCAGGAAACATAGGAAGTCAGTAAAGGCTCCAAATAGGAGCTGTGGTGTCGATAAGTTGCAGTGTACAAGAAGGTAAGACACGCTAAAAAAATTCAGTAGTTCTTCATCTGATGAAAGAACGTATATATATATGTGAACATGTATATATGTAAACATATATAGATAGACTTTTCCTAGTTGTACCACCTGCAGATGTTCATTTGTGTGTGTATCATCAGTGATAGAAAAGGCAGACTTCTTGTCTTAAAAGAAAATAGTTTATTCGGAGAGGTTTAAGACATAGTGAAGTCAGAAGTGAAAAACAGATTTTTTTTTCGCTCTCCTGAACTGCAAATAAGAGTGTCTGATACTGAGATGTGGGCTGCATAATAATTTTTGAAACTGCAAATTAAATAGTCTGTTAGGGCAAAGTATCAGTATCAAAATTTTCCTTAATAGCTATTTGCTTTTCAGTTGTTTTCCAGTTTCAGCTTCTGACAAGTTGGGGTGATCCATACTACATTGGCTTGAATGGACTTGAGTTGTTCGATGAACATGGAGACCAAATCTTACTAACCGAAAACAGTATCCTTCTACAGCCCAAGCGCCTCTATCCCTTTCAGATACGCAGTTTGCTCCCTGGCACATTGTCATATGGCATCACTTGCTACTTCTTCCAAATTGCCAGTTTATCCCATGTGATTACTCTGCTTGTATTTCTCTATATTTATGTGATGATACTTGTTTCCGTATGTTTTAATGTATTCTATACACTTTCAGAACATTTCTTCTCTGAATGGGACACACCAACAAAGCAGGACGAGGTTAGAGAAGGAAAGGCTTAAGAAGGATATGGTATTTTTTGCTATCAACTTTTATTTATTCTATGGTATGGAATGACCAGAAAGTTAGATGAGCTATAAATTCATAAAAGGTTGAGCTCAGTTCTTTGTTATGGAATCTTTCATTCTGCCACAAGAAAGAAATTTTTCATAACTCTTGTTCTGGAGCTTTAGGCTATTCTAGACACTCGATCCAGTCGTGAAGATAAGGGCTGAGACTTTGAATTTGATTCAGTGTTCCTTGGGTAACCAACAGAGGGAATGAAGGACATGTTTGAAAGATTCATAGTCATCAAGGTTACACTTCAGTGCTCTGTATCAGCTAAAGTCTCAGCTGAAATCAGATAAAAGAGCTAAATCAGCTAAAGAGCTGAAAGCTTCATACCCTAACATACAATTCATGTAGTTCAGTCACATGGAAGAAATAGTTTCTTAGCCAACTAGAAAGGATAAAAAGCACGGATGCTGCATGAATTGTATATCTCTAAGGATCCTCATTGCCTAATAAATAGAGGATAAAATGAAAAAGGTAATAAAGTCTTTTTCCTGAGTGCTATTTTTATTTGTATCTTGTATGATACATGATGAACTTGAAACATCTGTAATGGAGAAGAAGCATTTTGAAATTGAAAGGTGGTAACAAATTGTTTTTAAGAACAGGGGATCTTTAACTTAGCTTTTAAACGGTATGTCTTTACAGTACAATACAATGCCAGGTAAAGATACCTCAGCTCGTTTTGAATGATTGCCTGTTTCTGCCTGTACAGTAGTGTTGCTTGGATATATTAGGATCCCAAAAGAGCACATTTGTCTTAGTGCAGTACTAAATGTGTTAATTCAGTACTGAGTCTGGAGCAAGCTTTTCTTAAACAGCTGAGGCATTGCTATGTTATTCCTTAAATTCTTTAGAAATACTTACAGACTCAGGCCTCTTAGAAAGCAGAACAAGGGCAAATTAATGTCTCTCAAACTGGATTGTTAGAGATTTATAATTCTGAAGACAGTGCCATCCATCCACATTTTTTTGCATGTCTTTAACATACGTATGTTTTTAACATAAATGTTCTCTTACGGAGAAAATCTGGTTACCTGGAAAGCCTGCTCAGTAGAAGATTTAATCTTTCTCTCTCAAAGAACTGAAAGAAGGCCTTATTAGACAGTTGCTGATTTTTATCACAAACCTTGAGGAACTCAAGCAAAACTTAGTCTGACTCATGACTACCTCCTGCAAGGACACTTTTCTCGAGATATGTTTCATATGAGGAGTTTTCACAAGTTCATGCTAAAAAAATGGGGCTTTGTCACAAAAAAGCTGCGAAGTGCCTATTCCTGATAAGGGGGAGCTTTATTGATGAAGTCATAAAGGCATATTTGAAAATAAATTAAATGCAGCTAATTAATTTATTCCTATTTTGAAAATAATTTTGAATGCCAGAATCTGTAAGGGTTGTCCTGCTCTTAAAAATGTGCCCCCAAGTTCCTCGGCTACCTATGTGAAGTACTCGGTGTATTTTTAAGTTTTACTGCTGTAGTGGTGAATACTCGCTCATGGAATCTGGAAGAGCAAGCATGAACTTTTAAATATGGTGTTTCTGAAATGTACTTTTCGATTATTTACACTTAAAGTTTTTTTCAGATATTGCTGCTTTTCCAGACAGTGTCAACATTTTAGAAGATGTATCTGGGGACATCCGAACTCCAGACAAACTAATTGACAGAGTAAATGACACAACCGATGGCAGACATATGTGGCTTGCACCGGTTCTTCCTGGTTTGGTACATTTTCCCTTTTCATTCCTTTTTAGCGATGTGCATAGATGTAGCTAGAAGCATAAAGGAAAGGGGAAGCATACATAATTTTTAGGTAAATTTGATACTAGTAAATGATGCTAAATCACTGCCTTTTAGAAGTTCTTTTTATTCCAGTTTCTTTTCACTGCACAGATAGCAGCAGTATAGATTTCCCAGGTTTGTAATCTCCTGTCTCCATGGTGCAACAGCGGAAGAATTTGCAAGGCTAGTGTAGATGTTTTTTCAGTTACTATGATAAAGATACTCACAAAGGAGTGTAATATGCGTGTTTTGTGCAGTAAACACCTTTTGAATCTTAACTTCATTTTTACAAAAAGCAATGAATGTTGTTCCAGCAGTGGGAATTTTTTTAATCTCGTTATCTATGTTGAATTCAAATTCAGAAATTAGAGATGACAGACTTAGTATTTCATGTCCTAAGGCCCCAAGTGATTCAGCCTTTTAGAATCCCCACGTTTAAAATATGGGGTATCAAATATCTAAACAGGAAAAGTAGATAAACTTAGATGAGTTCTGACTTCATTTTGGGAGAGGACATTTTTTTATGGGCCTGTTACGGACATCATTAAGATGTAATTATTTCTTAGAGGAGGATGGATTTCAAAAGTAACAATATGTAAACCTGACGTGTGGTATGTTGTAGCTTACTGTGTTGGAAAAATCCTTACTCCATATGTTACATTTATTAATTAGAATATTAAAAGCAAAGAATTAAGTCAATTTTGAAAATACTTCATATATCATTATGTGTTGTATTGCAATGGGAATAATTAATATAAAGCTTTTAAGTATACTTGGGAATACTGACCACTTGCATTTCTGTGTAATGCTTGAGGCTCCTGCTGTGTAGATCCCACATCTTGAATCCTGGTAATTAATTTGATGGGATGCTCAGATATCCGTTATAACATCATGAATGATTGATTTGACAACCATCTGAGTTTACTCATGTCCTTATAAAAGTCATGCTTGCAGAGGCTATTTCATTTTGGCAAAAAGAAAATAACAGTACCTGGAGTTCTCGCACAGCTGCGTACGCTGTTTTGTGTTGTTATGTCTGACACCAAAGTACTATAGAAGAACATAAGATACCAGTATTAGAAGGGTGAACTGATAAAGTGTGATATGCAGGAGGGAAGAGTAAGCAATTTAATGGCGCTCTCTGTCCTTAAATTGTAGCAAATTATACCTTTTCAAGATCCATATAGTACTTTTCTCTCTTCCATCTTTCATGGTATGGTTGTACAGCCAGGAAGTGCAAATGGATTAAGCAATCAGCCTATTCATGATCATCCTCTGTAGCTGGGATGCTGAACCAAAGCTTGTGTGTACTTACATCCTCATTGCTAGGCTGCTTTGAAACATGCCAGTTGCCTAGAAAGCTGAATTAACTCTTTGCTATATTGGAAGGTTCGAAAGCTTTAAGGAAATTTTATATTATAGCCTTTCTTTTCCTTTCTAAATGCCTTTTCCTTTCTAATTCGGAAAGTGTTTTTGTCTTTTGCGAATTTATTACTAATGTAGGTACAATTTGAATTCTTTGTTCCCCTGTTACAGACTGTCATTTTATTTATTTGTTTGAATGTATTTTCCATCAAATTTCTCATTTGCTGTGAGACTCACAATTGCTATTGGAGACTATGCCCAAATTGTCTTCTGGAAAATCACAGACATAAACATTTCTATTGATCACATCTACCTTTCTTTCTTCGGTAAAAAAAAATGCATAATGATTTAATAAAACTGATAATATCTTCTCCATTGCATCGAAGGATTAACACTTCAAAGGATGCTAGAGATGAAGCTTAAGATATGTTGGCCCAAATTTGATATAGTAGCTCATAAAAGGAATAGCATAGAATTAACTGTAACAGGCAAGATTGGTTTCCGACAGCCTAATCTTTAGTCTTAACATCTTGACATTAATGTCACTGAAAGTAAAATGAACAATACCTCAAGCAATAATTCTTTAGCAAGCATCTGGATAATTGTCTCTACATTCCTGTTAGTGTACCTCACACAAAAATTGCAAAATTGCTGCAAGAGCTTTCAAAGTCAGGGGATATAGGAGAAATTTTAGTCTTGCCAATAGAAAGGTGGATTCCATTTATATTTGGCAGAAAGAACTAGAACAGAACAGAACAGAACAGAATAGAATAGAATAGAATAGAATAGAATAGAATAGAATAGAATAGAATAGAATAGAATAGAATAGAATAGACACCAGCTTGTCTTATCCTGAATCACATGTCTGTATTTGGTTAACAAAATACTCATTAAAAGTGTCTCTCTACCCCTCCTCCAATTGACTAGCAGTCCAGGATGACAAGCTCAGGTGTAGATGTCATCTTCTGAAGAGTTATATGTACATTTGAGAGAGCAGCTCTGGGGCAGAGACACCACCTGTGAGTTGCGAACACAGATGATAGCTGAACTTAAATCCTTAGCATCAGTTATCTGTCCTCTAGCTATATCTCTTTAAATACGGACCTCTTTTGATGGAACATGCATGAGAATTTCATTTCTTTGGGGAATTTGTGCTGTTAAATATAAATTAATTCTCTTTTACAGGTGAATAGGGTATATGTCATTTTTGATGTACCTACTACTGTGTCAATGATCAAGTTATGGAATTATGCCAAAACACCTCAGAGAGGTGTGAAAGAATTCGGTGTAAGTAATTTTTGCATGCATTTTGTATGTTCTGGTGAGTCAGCTTGCTTGCTTTCTGTACTTATTTTCACAGTTTACTGAAGTGTGATTCCAAGTAATCTCAAAGGACGGGATTCATCTCATTTAACTCTACATTTAGTATTAAAATGACTAATCTATGCCAGTCATCCATCCTCCCTTTCTTGTCCAGGGAAAGAACACTTTATCTGATTTTTTTCTTAGATAATTGTCTCAAGATAGGATAATGCTTTCCTTTTTGCACTGACTATAGAGCAGGCCTGGAAGACTAGTTTAAACTACAAACCCAAGTTTTAGACAGCTGAAGTGAGATTCATTAATTCCTAGATTTAAGAGTGATTCACTCCAGTTAATAGAATGGCAATTATGTAAAACATGAAATACATTTTTAATTACCTTCTTGAAAGCTGTATTAGAAACATCCGTGAGAAGACAAAAACTTGAAAAAAAAAATCAAAACCTAGCAGCAAGTAGAGAGAAATGGAAGTTTTAAGGAATAAAAGCTAAACTAATGACCAGAGTTGTGAAGCAAATAGGGCAAAATGATTTCTAGTTAATTGATAGAGACAACTGCTGAAAGCAATGCCTCATTTCTAGATGTTTTGTTTGTTTGTTTCTTAAATATCTTCAGCTGCTGGTGGATGACTTACTTGTGTACAATGGGATTCTGGATATGGTGAACCACGTAGTATCAGGCATCCTACCAACCTGCGATCCAGTGGTCCCGTATCATACCATTCTCTTTACAGATGATGAGAAGATTTGCCATCAGGAGAAGAGAACTGTTATTAGGTATGTGAGTGGATCTCGATTGGAAGAAAGAATCTTGTTTTCAAAAGATGTTTTTATGTGACCTCTGTCAGCAATATGTATATTGCTATAGAAAATTCCCTTCCAAAGCATACTCATCCTCAGTTAATGGGAAATAACCAATAGTTTTTTGGATACTAGAACCAAATTACCAGCTTTATTTGTTAGCATTTTTTAGCACTTCCTGGGGTTCATGATTCATATTTACATATGTTTTCATGGAAGCTTATAGTAATAAACACGAAAGAAGTTAGGCTTCCTTAGGGAATAAATAATATATCCCAATGATATTACGTGGAGGGAAAAAAAATAGAAAGTTAATGAAAACGAACCAAGCATCAAAAGTAAAGAAAAGAAAGTCCTCTTATTTGGCACAAATACTAACTAAGAAACCAGAATTCTACTATTTTATAAATGTGCTAAAATAATGAACTTCTTAAATGAGAAATGAATTGCATTCAGAGGGATGACACTTTGAAACCACTAAGTTGGCAATCTCACAGAAAATATGATGAAATGCCATGAAAAATGCACTTATATTTAGAAGGTCAGGATTGATAGGGTCTAAAAAACTGTTCCTAGCAAGAAAAATAAAGACTGAAAGAATAATTTATTTTAAATGAGATTGAAAAGTGAAAAATCAAAAGCTTATAGAAATAAGCACTTTTTTAGACACTGCACAGCTAACAAATAGAATGTCTTGCACATACATCAGTTGGAAAAAAAGACGACAGTTTTGCATTCAAAAATGGCACATGATTCATTCAGAAGAATATTCAAAAATTTAGAAATAAGTGGAAGGAACCTAAGCTGTCCTGATTAAGAACAGAAGTTCACATTTGCCTACGGGGTTTGTTTTCCTGTGGTTCTCTAAAGCATTGGCTGTTGGCCACTGATCCTGTCAGATGTTGAAATAAATCATTATTGTTTGGATGTATTGTGTTAGACTCAGGTTCTTGTACAAGTGGCTGTGTTGTCATGGTAAAATTTGGAGGTAAACAGTTTTTCAAATGAAAAAGTTACTGAAATGAAAATGTCTGGAGGAAATACAAGTTTTGAGAAAATTTTCAGTGGGATCTAGAAAGGGGGAGGAGAACCGAACTTTTACTTTCTTCAACTTAACATCTTTGTACGAGTAAAATTATTTTATTGAAAGCAAAGAAGGACCAGCTGTAATCATAGATCTTTTTCATATAACTTTCTTTGCACATATTTATAAGACATATATCCTTTGATTTAGTTTTAAGAGGGGTATACTTTTTGGTTCATGCACACTGCATGATCTGTTTTCCAGTCAAGAACATGCAGAGTTTCTTCTCTTCTAGAATTCCTGTGCAGGAGCTTTCTTGGTCTTTCTTCTTAGCCTGTTTTGCAATCTTCTATTCCCTTTTTCTACCTGCTACCCAACTAAAATATAGGGTACTTCAGCAATAGAAGACAAATCCCTTACTACATGCTGGATAATATCCCTCCACTTAAAAAATGTTCTTGAGCTTTTATGTACTGTTACTTCTGATTTTGGCCTATTCTCTTTCACATGTCACTGTTCAGTATTTTATGAACCCTGAACTTGAGTCTGATATTATCATCAATAACTTAAGTTCTGATTTACTTCAGTATCAGTTCTCCTGTTTCATTCTGACAGTTTGAGAGACATTACATTTATCTCCAAAAACAGAAACGTGTTTTGTGCAGTATTTGTAGAGAAAAGAAAAATACACTTCCTTTTTTCCAAAGACATGGATGGTTTTTTTTGTCTGTGTGAAAGGGAGATGTTATTAGTGATGTTTTCTTTAACGTTGAATTCAGCTGATATTTTTTCTGTAGTTTGTTTAATTTAATTTAACTTTGAAGTTATTACTTCTTTCCCAAAAAGAAATTGTTAAAATTTTGCAGCCGCCTGCAAACAAAGCTTGTCACAGTAAATGAATTTTGTTTAGTTCAGAAAATTTTCAAATAATGCTGTATCAACATTACAAAACAGTGTTAAGTTCCATATAAGGATTTTTATACCCTCTTTGTATGGCACTGATTTAAAATCTCACTTTGGTTAATGTGGTTCAAGCTGTGTAGGCAGGCAAGAAAATTGTAGAGTGAATATGATATTTATATTTGAATGTGTGCCTGAATGAATGCCACTAATTAAAACTGGCAAGAAGTCCTTCAGGTGGATGCAGACAGAATGCCTTTCCTTTCTAGATAGTTTCATATAAAGTAGCTGTGCTTCATAGCTTTGTTTAGCCTCCAGGACCTAAATAACTTATTTGGTAACCTTTTCCATGACTCTCATAACTTTTCACAATATTGATTATGTTGGCTATTGTACTGATTTTAATCTTTACAGCAATCATGTGGGAGATCAGGATGTACGAATGATGAATGAAAACGAGATTGTCACAAACAGCAAAAAGAAGCAGGCTGTGGCTGACCCAGGTTAGTTCTGTCTTCTACAGTTTTCTTCTGTTCACTTTCTACAGAGACGGTATGGGTGACGAACATTGTTATAGACCTAAACTGGGAAAAGTGGGGAGACTTACACCTCTTTTATATATTTAGCTCTACTTTTTCTACCATAGGAAGGCAAACCAGGAATGTCATACTCTGGTGGAATTTTATTCTATATCTAAATTTGAAAGTGGATGATATAAATCAAAGACATATGTGGCATGCAGTCAGAGCTTATACCAGCACATACAGAGAAGTCCTCAGGAAAGAAACTGACTGAAGATAAACTGAAAACTGGTGTTAATTGTACAAGTTCATAGATAGCTCTTGGAATAATAGGCTCATTGCATCCCCACTGGCCTTTTAAGCAGCTTTAGAGATGATGCATATGTGTCTCAGAATTAGCTGCTTGTTGCTCCTCAAGCGAATCCAAAATCACGATAAGTGTAACAAGGGGGAAAACATGTTGACGTTATTCCTCCCACTGTCTTTCTGCTTGGTCTTTTCTCTTACAAAGTGATAATTAAAAAGACAACCTCTTTTTTTCCCAAGGAGAAAGAGTAGATTGTATTTATAGTGTGAAGAGTCCCAGTCAGTCATTGTAAATTACTCAGAATAGCTCCCTAAATACATTACAAATTCTCAGCCAAGCTGGTATATTCATGATTGTTTTTTTCTCCTGAGCATGACACTTTCACCAATTAGTTTCTCTAGAAAGTGTTACAGAAATTATTTGATGGCTTTTAATAACAGTGCTGTAGGAGAAGGATTTGAAATGCCATTGCCTGTACAAATACAGCTTCGACGTTATTAGTATATTAGCACTAGCTATGTCAAAAGTATTTTGAACATCTCTGTGCCTGTTGTAATGACATCCTGGTTTCCAGTGCAGGCATACCCTATGTCCAGTAAAGAATAGCTGTCATTGCCATGGCCATCACAGCTATTGTCTGAGCATTAAGGACACAGAATGCCTATGAAGTCATCAGTTGAGGATTGCCTATTGCCATCTGCCCCATGTCTGCTCTGTAGTACTTACTGGTATCAGCCGCAGTGGTTGATAACATAGATTTGTGGAATGATTCGGGTTGGAGGAGACTTCAGGGGGTCCCCTCTTGCAGGAGGGTCCAACCTACCACTCAGAAGAGGGTCGAAGTTGAATTCAGACCGCATTCCATAGGAAAGCGATAACATGGGACTGTGAAAAAACTGTCAACGTAAGAAACATTACTGAGAAGAGTAGCTGAGCTTTCCTTCTGGAATGGGAAGAGAAATGGGCATGTTTCTTCCTCATTTTAATCTGTGGCTTCACTGTTAATACAGATATAGTCTTAAAACAGCACTCAATTTTCCTTAACAGCTTTACGTCCAAAAACCTGCATATGTGAAAAAGGACTGCAGAGGAGGAAAAGATAACAAGGGATTGTGATTGGAAAGTCCTGAATACGCCCAGCCCAAAATACCTGCAATCTAGCTCTTCAAGATGTGTATCATCCAAATGGAAGATTTTGCATGTCTGCTGCTGCTGCACCACCTCCTGTCTTAGGAGAAGTTTTATTCACCACAGGGAATTTTCTTCAGTAATGAAATTTAAAGCACAAATTAAGTTTTTCTGGTTTTTTTTAATTGTCATTATCTGTCTGATTCCCCCCCCCCTCCCCCAATTGAAAATCCAGGGAGGAAGGAATGTAAAGGAGTGAGTGAGAACCTTATTTCTAACTGACAACTGTTCCTGCCAAGTACCAAGAACTTGGGTGAAGCAGGGTGGTCAACAAGAGGCTTTCAGAGTATTTCTCAAGCTTTAATTCCTAAATCCTAGCTGGATGATCATGAAGGTCCTCACTAGAAGGAAGCATCTGCTTTGTTTCTGGTGCCTGTAAATAGTTCTTTGGGAAATGCACTTATTAGAGGAAATATTCTTTACCTCTGTTTCTGAGCTGCCACTGTATGTTTTGATGCCATGGCTCGCTCTAGGGGCTGACACTGTTTCTGACATCTGGAGAGGTTCCACTGGGTATGGAGAAGTGTGATGAATGCTTTTTTTAAATGGACATCAGGAAGTGGGTTTATCAAGGTTTAATAAGTAAGTTTCAGCTGTCACTTCTCTCATCTTTTGCAGTGAAATAATGATTTCTTTCATTATTTCACTACCATGAAAAAAAGCAAAATAGGTGTTTTGCCTGAAGTGCCATTGGCAGGCACGCTACACATTCTTCAGTCCTCCTGCTATAGAGCAATGCTCTTTCTCCTATTTTGCCTGCATTTGGTTATGTGAGCAAGGAGGGCATGCCTCTGCACTGCACTGACCGGATCTGTTGTCAGCAACGTATCATCACTGTTGAGAAATGGTAAATGCATTTTAACTAGAAGAAGGTGAGGAGTGAACTGCATTTTTAAACACGAAGTACCCTGCATATGTAGTCATTTAAACAAAAACTCTAACCAAATAATTATGCTGCAGAATTTGTAGCTATGCAAATGTACTTTTCACTGGAAAATTGTCAGTGGTGACAACTTGTAAATCTCTTCCATAGAAGGTTCTTCCTTTCTCCTTTAGAACTTGCTCAATGTTTCCAGGGAGAACTGAACACTCTGAAGTCAGTATATGCTTTTAGACATGAAACAGAGATGTACTATTGCAGCTCCTGATACAGAATCAAAATATGCTGCTTCCCGTTCTGTACTAAGTCAGGAGTGCAATGTCTTGTATATTGGCTTATAAAAAGCATACTTCTTAGCTGTTTTTGGCTAAACTGAAAAGTCTTAAGGTAGCAATGCATTTCCCAGATTTCTGTGTGTTGATGGAGCAACAAAATGTATTTTGTACTAAATACAAAACACTTTACTTCTAAATGTAAAATGGTGTATGTGAGCGTATTGTACTTTGTTTAAAGGCTCTTCCCAAACTACACTGACAAAAGAACCCTTCTGTTGTTCTGAGAACTGTCTCCCCTCATGTGTTCACCAGTGTAGCTCTACCAAGAACCAAGTTTTAATTTTTGCTCCAAATCAGATAACCGTTACATGCAACTCAAAATGAAAAAGAGGAGGAGCTGAAAAGAGGGTTATTGGTAGGGCTAAGAACAGACATAAATCTATGCGTTTGGAAGAGGAGAGGCTATAGCAAGGTTTTTAAGACTTAAGGCACAATCACAGATTTGTCATACAGGCAATCTGTAGATGAGATGAGGCCTGTCGTATTGTCTGTTCTTCTGAGAAAATTGCATTGAATGTGAAGAGAAATGAAACCCATCGTGTTTCCTGGCACAGAATAGCATCCCTCTTATTGATCAGAAAAGGTGTGAGCGGGAGAGGACTTTCTGTGCTCATCTGTCTTCTCTGTATCTGTCTGCAACATCTCAAGTCCTGTGCAATGGACTAATGATTTTTCAACCCTAATCCTTTGAGGTAGCTCCAGGTTTTGTAAATTATTGCAAAATACTTGGTCAAGCTCAAATTGGTTGCAATTCTCTCTATCGTCTGTTTCTCTGCCACCAACTGTTCCTCACTGGTCAGTTGGTAACTGCAGCCAGTTGTCACACCTTTTGCCTCTGGAAACCTGTATGCAGTGCAGCTGGTCTGGCACAGAGAGTATTGGCTTGTACCTTCTGCCAGCCTCTCCTCGCAACTCCTTTTACCCATTCAAGAGATTCCCCACAATTGCCACACTGTGGAAAGACTGTGAAAGTCTTTAAAATATTTCCGAAAAATTGTTAAGTTGTGGAACATCCTCCCCTGCAGTGTCTCTGTCTGAAAGAAGGGTTTGCCAGCCTGCTGTCTGCTCTGGGATGACATACACCACCAAGGCAAGGCCTAATGAAGTCCTTGATTCTAGTCAGTCATATGCAGAAAGTAGCATAATGTTTAGAAAATGCTTCATTAATCTCTGTGGGGTAGGAGATTTCAGTGTTTGCCCTCCTAATTGGAGCTGAGATCTAAGACCCTTTATGTAACCAAAGATAATTAAGTGTCCTAGTCAGCCCCATATACTCAAACTTAGATACCTGACTCATTTCCACAATGAACCAGGGGAAAAAAATTAAGTTTTATTCAATTTTTCACCTTTTCTTAACTAACTAGTCACAAGTACATTCATGTCAGACTAGCATTTACAGGAGGGAAAAGAGGAAGAGTAAACATGCAATCAGGAAAATCCCCACGGAGCACTTCAGTCAACGTCAGGCGCAGTTTCAGCAAGAGTAATCCAGCAAGAATGTGCACAGTACCACATCATTTGACATTGTCAAAAGCATGGCAAAGGAAAAGGAAGGATTAATATGAATTCTTGATGAAACCTTTGATGTAAACTATTAAACTTTAGCCCAGTTCCAATTTCTGGGCCACTCAAAAACCTTAATGTCACAGTTGCTCACCTTTACCTTTAATGACTTGCTTTAAAGGGGTTGGATCAAGATAACAGAAATGAGTTTGTCCCACAATGACACTGAGAAGGGCAGAGGATAAAGAAATAATCCATGAGGAAGTACATGTCATGCTGCCTACTTTTTGATCTTTAAAAAGATATTTTTATCAGTCTTCACAGTGCAATCTGAAAACCGGGATGCCCGGGAAGGCCTGCAACTTCTGTTTTCGATTTCTGCCTTTTTGTGGTTTAATCCAGTGGAATTTAAGCAGCAGTGAGAAGCACCTGTATGTGGACAAGGGAGCAAGCAGTGGTGCAGACAGTGTAAAAGGCAGCACATGGAAGCTCGTGTATTGCTGAGTCAGGAGAGTCATCCTCATTTTGCAGGATGAACCCATAAGAGCTACATAAGGAGCTACAATATGGCAGCTAAATTAAACTGAGCCCTTCTGATGGCTTAGGCTGGACCTGGACAGAAAATTGCACCACAGCGTCCTGCTTAGGTGATGCTGTTTTCTGTAAGATTTCCTGGTCCTGCTGGGCTTTTAGCATGTTCCTGGTGTGTTGGTCATTCCCCATAGTGATGTTCAGGCCTGTCATTTCAGGGACGTATGCCAGACTGGTAATGTCTACAAGAGCCTGACAGTGCCAATGAGTGACTGAGTGTTGTGGGATTGGACAGAGATCTTGTATGGAACACACTGGAACGACCAGAGACAGGACTCACTGATGGTGATGATGTGAGAGCAATGGGTGAGGGAGCTCGAATGTTGAGTCTGTAACCCCTCTGTGTTAGCAGCAAAAGCTTACTGCTCAGCCTGTCAGGTAAGAGCAAACATAAAGTGCTGTATTGACATCTGAATTCTGGCTCATGCAGGAGATGAAGTCTGCGTTCCCTTTGATTCAGTCAATGGCTTTCACTCTGTAAGACAGAAGTATTTCCCATTCCCTCCTGCTATCGGCTTCGGCAGTCCTCACTGTCGGGTGCACCTCTATACTGGCCTGGGGAACATAGCGAGTGATTAGAGTCCAAACCAGCACTGGTGTGAGCAGACATGTCGTATAGGGATGCCTTAGGCTGGCCTCCATGTTCTGGGGCTGCTGATCCAGGAGGCTGAGCTCTAACAGGAGCCGCTCTCCTGGTAAGAGTCACTGAAGTTGCCAGATCTCTTCCAATATTCTTCAAAAAATGTGGGCTCCAGAAGATGCTGCCTAGTAATAGCTTCACCAGTGCTATAGACAGATACTGTGAAGGTGCACACTACAGCATTTGATGCACCTTCCTGTATTCCCTTTTAGCTTTTTTCAACATCTCTATGTTTTAGCTGCATCATTATGCTTAGAAGGTCACTCCTTTTTTTTCCAAACCAGTCCTCAAGGTCCTGTTCAGAATCATTGCCTTGCAGGTGTGACCAACCTGTTTTGCTTTTCAGGTGTATGTGCTCGGATGTATTACAACCTTAGTTTAATTTCATCTGCTTTCCCATATGTAAGCCGCTTGCTATCTGTGATTTGTGGTGTCACCAACCCCTATGACCACAGCACAGTGGCTCCTGTTTGCATGGGGCCCTCATTTCTAGGGCTGCCGGTGCTGCACGTCTGCCTGCTTGATTATTGCCCATTCAAAAATGCTGCAGAGATAAATGTTCATTTTGGAGACGTGCACTGACGTGTCTCCTCTAAAGAGCAGAGAGGAGTATAGCATACTGGAAAAATGTTTGCTTCCATTTGAGCGCTGAGGTCCTGGCATTCAGAGCACAAGAAGGAGGGTTCCTGGCTCAGTGGTCTCTCTGCCCATTTCTGTGACTATTTGCTTGTTTGCTGAGAAATGACTTACAGCCCATGTGAGACACAAACATCCCTTTATCACGCAGCTTGTATCACCCTAATGGAATTCTGTCAGCTGAGGATAAAATGTGGACTAAGAAAGCAATTATAGAGTGAATCTCCTAGCTGCAGGAAGAGCTGAGAGATGGGGACAGAGTGCCCAGCTGGAGTAATTTCCTGTCCGACTGGCCTCTAAATCTTGCTGGGAAGAGATCAATTTTCCACC